GTAATAATTATATAGTAATCTAACCTTATATTTAAGGAGCATTTAACTTTAAAGTAAGTAAAGTAATTTATAAAGATAAAATTAATACACTTCCCTAAGTCCTTTATAAGGGAGTTTATTAATAAAGGGAGGAAGTTATGCTTATTAGCCTATTCCGCTATTTTATTTCCCGCTGGGTCTAGCCTCCTACCCGGCTGCTATATTTAATAAGTAGCATTAAAGTCGCCTGCTATAATAAATTAAGGGGGTAAAGGGCCTTAATTAATAAGGGTATTTATAATAATATTCTCTAAGGCCCTTTTATAAATATTAATAATTATATAGCTATAAACCTTAACCCAGTATATATACTTATTCTTTAAGCTTAGAGGGGAGAGTTACTTACTAAGGAGGTTAAGGGAGATTTTAATAAATATAAGGACTAAGGGTCTAATATTTTTTTAATTATTTAAGGGATTATATACTTAAAATTTAAAATAATTTTTAATTTACCTTTTACTTAATATTTTATTTTATTTAATATAAGGTTCTTAAATAAGTATAATATTATAGTTACTTTTTTATATAAGTAAAAGAGTAATATCTTAGTAAAGGCTATTCTTTTTAATATTTACTTAAAAGATCTTAAGGCTAGTATTTCTTTAGCGGCTGTAATAGGGCTTATTACTTATAAGGCTATTATAAGGGGTTTATTATTTTTATTAATAGTTTCCTTTATATTATTCTCTTTATCTTCTATTTTATTTTCTAAGCCCGCTATATATACCTTTAATCTTATAAGGGAGCTATCCATTAGGTTATTATTAAAGTTAACCTTAATAGTAATCTTTTAAGCGGGGGCCTTAGCGGGCAGCTAGGGAGCGGAGCTGGGGAATAGGTAGCGGATCTAAGGGCCCCCCTTTAAGGGATTAGCTTCTAAAAGGGCTTTATTTATAAGGGTAATCTCAGCGGCTAGGGCTAGCTTAGGCGGGTTAGCTTCTATATATTCCTTTTATCCTAGCTCTTTAATTACCTTAAGCTAGTCTTTAATAATATAAACTTTCTCCTTATCCTTAATAATTAATTTAGCTAAGCACTTAAGGGAGTTTACTTTATATAGGCTATTGCAGTTAATATATTATAGTAAGGAGGGGTAATTTATAGTAATATCTATATGCTTATTTAAGGGCTTACTGCACTTTAGGTATCTCTTAATTCTAATGTAATTCTGCGGGTTATAAAATCTAAAGTAGCGGAAGCATTAAGTAATTTTAAGTTTTTAAATTTAGGCCTTTACTAAGTAAGAATTATTAAATATCTTAAACTTAGGTTTAATATTTTCCTTAAAGGATATAAAGTAATAATATATATTTAGGGATTTTTTAAAGGGGGCCTTATAGACTGCTATAGGCAGTTCCTTAGCCCCTGCCCTAGCGCGCGCCTCCTTTAAAATTAGCGCATCTATTAAGTAAGTCCCGCTTATATTTATATATATTTTTAATATACTATATATAAGAAAAACCTTCTAGGAATATACTTTTTTAATTTTTAAATTATTACTCTTAGCTATAGGTTTAAGTATAATAATTTTCTCTTTTATATTTTAATCTTTCGCCCAGAGGGCGAAGCCTAATTAAATCTCTTAAAAGTAAGTAATATTTTTATTTTTAAGCTTTAGGGAGCTAATTAATTCTTATTTAGCCCTAATAGCTATTATCTTTCTTTAGCTATAGTTTAAGGGGACCTAGATAAAGATATAGTTATTAGGCTTTTAGTTACTTATAGTAATTTTATTATTATTCTTTATTTTAGTAGTAAGGGCCGGCCCTATGCTATTAAAGGAAGGATTCTTCTAAGTGTTAAAGCCCTTCTGCGGCTTTTTACTATAAGTAATATCTTATAATATAACTTATGCCTATATAACCTTAGAGCTTATTTAGCCCACTTTTTTAATAGTTATAGGGGCTCCTGCTATAGTGGGGTTCTTAGGGCTATTTAATTTATTTTTCTTACTATAAGATATATTAGCTAATGCTATTTTAGTTAGTTAAGCAGCTTTCTCTTTACTGCTTAATTTCTTAGGGTTTTTAAGCCTCCCCTTAGGGTTAATGTAAGAGGTAATAAAGTTTTTAAGTGCGGTGTTTAAGTATAATTAAACCTATTTTACTACCGCTAAGGAGAGCTAGGATATATATTACACTAAGTAGGAGTTAATAGCTATAGCTATATTTAATATTATATCTTATTTAGTATATTATTATGCGTTAATTTTATTAATTTAGTTTATAACTTTATTCCTAGTAAGGGATTTTCCCTCTTTATTTATAGCAGTAGCTTTCTTTATACTGCTAAAGATAAAGGTAGTAATACCTCTTATTAGTTTTTATATAGCTACTATACTAAGCTTTACCTTATTAAAGCTAGGCGAGAATATATTATTTATTACATAAACTTCCTTATAATATCTTTTCTTTTTAAGAGTAAAGGGGAGGACTGTAGTCTCTCCTGCTCCTAGGATTAAAGGGGTTATCTCCTTCTGTGGTTATATAGCAGTCGCTGGCCCAGCGGCGACAGGGTTAGTTTTATTTTAGTTATTTAGGGGGATTATAGATATTTCTATCTCCCCAGAGACCCTAGAGAGGGCTGTGAAAGGGTTTATTAAAGTCATTTTGTCTAATAGCTAGTTAAATAGAATAAGGTTCTTTGGTGGTTAGGCACCTAAAAGGTGGGGTACCTGTAGGTGTAGGAGGGAAGCTTGCTAGTGAAACTATGGAAGAGGGCACAGATATACATACTATCGTGATCCCAAAATTTAATGAAGAAATGCAAGCACGAAGACGTGGATATTGAGAATGTTGATAGACCAATTATCATTACTATCTACTTATGTCTTTCAAAGTACTCCGCAATATACCTAGCTACCTCACAGATAAGTAGCTGTCTACTTCTTCAATAGCATGCCAGACAGCCGCGTGGGGGTCTATCGAAGGATTCAACTCCACCTCGGACATCAACTACCTCTCTTAGATGTTCATGGGTTTTCTAGAGGCAGGTGTGGAGAATGAGAGTAGCACCGACGCATGGCAACATCGAATAGAGACTCTCCTCAAGCCCTTTATCGCGGTTAAATGGGAAAGCTTCAAGGTAACTGGCTCCTCCGCCTTTCTACACATCTCAATGTTTGTTGTATATGATGTGAGTAAATGGTGGTGTGCGTAAGGCCTCAACAACCGAAGTCAACGTACCATTGTAGCCACAAACATAATTTAAAACTACTTCAAGCGGCAGTCGTTAGCTATAGCAAACATCGAGTAGAATTGGGCAGCAAAAATTAATAACGTACTATTATAGTAGGTTTTATACATGTAATTCTAGATACTAGGGCCCATTTCGTGCCTACCATAATGAAAAGCTAAACAGTGCCCAATATTCATATATCTAGGAGCAGGCGCTCTTTATATTAATGTTTTCATTGAATTCCAGCCTTGGGTATGCTGTCCAAGGAAAAACCCTTACCCGAAATCTACAGAAATGAAGTCAGTAAAGCGACCGCAGAGAAACTGAGAGACGGGGGCTACTTTATAACCTGCCTATCAAGAAACTCAGTTTGAGATGCATGCATTGTTAACTTACAAGTGATTTAGCCGATACTCCAGCAATATGGGGGTCATGTATAGAAGTAGGTGTGGAGGATGAAAGCATGAATGCCTGAATAATGCTCTGGAGGGGCTGGTACGTATTTTACTATGTCACACCAACTTAAAGACACAGATCTGATCAAACAATTACTTCTTGTTCCATTCTAAAGTCAACCAGATATCTCTTGGTTTAGATTCATCTTCAACTTGAACAACGCAAAAGCTTAATTTTTGATCACCATGTCTTCAACTAGCAACCGTATCATACAGCACCATAATATTGGACTGATACAATGAATCCACCATGGAGACAATGTTTTCTGTCAGCCTTATGAATTCAATATTCTTTAACCTTAACACTGATCAGTTACAGATGACAGCAGCGCCACAGCCCACCTTACCCCCAAGCACGTCGCACTCGAGACGCATAAAAAGGTGATGGCAGAGTGGAAAAGCTCAGCAACTTGCGAATGGCTTATGAAGGAGAGTCATTTCCAATCGTGGAAGAACAATGATCCAGAATGCTCGTTCCTTTGGCTCTATGGGCGTCGTATGTCCTCATGTTCTCTAACCTCGAGGTTTGAACTAACCACCGCACTGTTCAGCGGGATGCGGAAAGTCTACCCTGATGTAAGCTTCTACTCTGCTGTGTGCTATTCAACCTCCAAGAGATAAAAGCTAATCCCTTCTTATTGAGGTCCCGTTTGATCGAAAACATTCGCGGAGATGAGTCTTCAACGAATCCTACTCCTCTGCTACTATACTTTTACGTTCGCTACGGAGATGATCAAGAAAAAGAAAAACTTTATCGAAGCTTGTGGATGACTTTTTGGGAGCAAGCAGCTGGCAAAGCAGAAGAACGAGCTATCTATACATTTGGGCATGACACTTCTCCAAAGACAATCGAAGAAGAGCTATACAAAGTATTGGCCACGTCGCAACGGAACGTATATATGGTCATCGATGCTATAGATCAATTTAACGTGCAGTCTCACGATTTACTACTTCAGAGTTTGAGCTCTATGGCCATACGACTTGGAAGAGAGACCGACGGCTTTCACCTCCGGGTGGCGATTAGTTCTCGCGATTGCAATGGAATCGATCAGCTGCGTGCCCATGAGGTGTTTCCAATTGAGGTTACAGCCGAAAATAATTAGGAAGACATCGATACTTTTCTAGAGAAAAATCTCACATCGGCCTTGTTTTGAAAAAAGCTACAACTCAGGAAGCAGGTCATTGACGAGCTAAGCAAAATGGCCGATGGAATGTTAGCATTATACCTCTATTCTTGTTCTCTACCTAGGTACTTTTATACCTTGCTAATATCGAGGATGCAGGTTTTTGTGGGCTAGCTTGCAGACTTTCAATATTCGCGATTTCGAAATGGAATCACAGGTTTTGAATACGCTTGAAAACCTCGTTCCTCCAGAAAAGATGTGCCTTATGTACGAAGCCTACGCTGATGGATTTGAGTCCCTGGAAGAATTAATCAAGAAGCAGATAGCTCAGAGAGCCATGTCTTTACTCGCAAATAGCTCAGGAATAATGTCCAAAGAGGTCATGCTCACTGCGCTTTCCTTGAATGACAGCGGAGGAATCAATGCGGTAGTCCATGGAGATCTGACGGCCGATCCTACTCTAGTTGTCCGTTTCTGTAAACACTTGATCCGCATCAATGAGAGGCTTGGCGTCATGGAATTCTGCCACAAAACCGTCTATGAGTTTTTCAGCAAATACAAATCTACTACTTATAATCAACGTATTGCAGAGCTCTGCTTGTCTCACTTGTGCTCGCCAGAGTTCTCCCAGGGCCCTCGAAATGACGCGTTGTGGTTTAATCCCGGTAGCCTGGCGCCAGTCCTGCGACAACATCTATTCTTGCCATTTGCATGCGCCAGATGGGCTATTAGCATTAAGAAAAGCTTAGAGCCCGAAATAAATCCAGGCATCTCAGAAAGCCTTCTCAGTTTACTAAGGATACTTTTCAAGAAGGGTCACCCGACCGAAACCCGAGAGAATTTACAACTAGCTTTCCAAGTATACCTACTGGCTCTTGGCAAAAAAATTCCGAAACGGGTTTGTCACGATCATATTGTATGCTACTTTGGTCTTGTTAAGCTTTTTGACATTTTCATGAAGCATCAATGGTTCGATCTAAAGAAGGTCGATGACGATGGATTGGTGCCCATCCATTGGGCAGTACGAAACGAGTTTGAGTTGGACGATTTTAAGCTCACTGTCGAGAAGCTGATCGAGTATGGTACTTCTGTCAATGTGAAGGACAAAGACGGCCGTACTCCGTTATACTATGCATGCCATTACGGAAATCTACAAGTAGCACAGTTACTTGTCGATAAGCACGCCCAGCTTAATGATGTAAACAAAGAGGGTGAAACTGCGCTGATCGCCTCTTGCAGGAAGCATCGCCACGACATCGTGCCATATCTCATCAAGGCAGGCTCTGATGTGAAGATACAAAGTTCATTTGGTATTGCTTTGCAAGCTATTTCCTTGATTGGCTGTTGCAGTTGTGCTGAGGCTATACTTGATGGCTATGGGAAGTCGAAGATCATTGAAGGCGATGGCCCTTTCGGCACTTCGCTTCATGCTGCTGCATTTAACGGTCATGCAGAGCTTGTGAAGCTCCTTTGTTCCAGACTGCCAAACACCCGTGCAACGCATCCAACATACGGGAGTCCTTTGACAGCGGCAGCTACTGGATTCAACCCGGGAAGGGACCCGGCTCCTTTCAAAGAGATAATCAAGGAATTGGTCAAATATGGGATAAACGTGAATGATTGAAGCGGCCTAGTTGGACCGGCTCTTCGTGCAGCCGCGTATCAAGGAGGCGAAGACCTTGTACGTCTCCTCTTGGAGAAGGGCGCCAAAATCCGCAAAGCCAAAGGCCCAATGGGCACAGCATATGAAGCTGCGGCAGAGCGTGGGCATCAAACTATCAAAGATATTCTGCTCAAAAACGACCCAAAGTCCAAGAACTACAGCGTGTCTCACGTTATCAGGCCTTTTGAGCGTCAGAAGATACAGCGAAAGGTGTTTAGGGCCACCGTCAAAACGAGCAGCATGGACACTATTCAAAGTCTTGTCACACAATTCGAGAAATTTTTTGAGAAAGAAATCAAAATCGGCGACACCCCTTTCCTCAGGACATTGGCCAAACTTGGCGAGGATGCATTTCAGGATGTCATAATCCTAGCCACCAAGTCGCGCGGCGAGTCTAGTATCTCACCAGAAACAGCTAAACAGAGTGTGGATATATCGCGGCTCCGAGCAATCATCTCTACGTTCTGCTGCGTTGGATCGACGGACGAAGACGACGAACCAGCATTAGAACGTACGCAGTCCGTCGAAGAGTTTCCCTATGTTCGCAGGGCGTCGACTTCATTTGCCCAAGATGGCCTTGGTGAGCATTTCCCACAGGTACTGGACCGCATGACGCAAGCTGCCTTGAAGATACGGGAGGATGCCATTGCCAGTGAAAATAGAAAAGTAATTGTTCTCATCACCAACACTTGGGTCAAGGCGTTGAATGATCTTGTCTCGCATCCTGGCTTCGGTGAGCCCATGCTGAAAATGGTCGTTCAAAGGCGTGCAGATGAGCTCAAACAGCATCTGATCAACCCAGAATTGAGCCAAGAGGAAAGATTTCGCAAAGCAACTGCCCTGGCCCAGGTTGGCATCGAGTTACTTCTAATGGCTGTTGAGCGCGGACCGAGATTTAAACATCTGTGCCTCGTCATCTCCAAACTATGGATCCGAGCCGTTTGCGATGTTGAAGAACTCGGGAAAGAAGGAGAGCTACCATTGCAAGAAATGCTTTGCATATTTGCAGCGCGATTTTCTAGCGCAGTTGAAGTTGAAGACTCGGTCAATGCTGAGATTTGCGCACAAGCCGGTATTGAACTTCTGAGAGCAGCAGCACTGTTTTCAAGGAGTACACTACTGGAAAGGTTTGGTAGCGAATGGGCGAGACTATGAACACTGGCCCTTGGGAAAGGGAATAGTATGGTATACATGGCTACACAGTTGGTCCTCCGATGGCAGGAAGAATACCAGGAAAGTCTCAAAGATAAGAAGAACTATAACAAGGCTATCAGGCTCGCATTGGCAAGCTTGGGAATGCTACGTGAGGCTTTCCAGCAAAGAAGCGAGCTTGCTGTAGCTTCACTGTTGCCAATTATCGAATCCAACACTAGGCTGACACTAAACACTCATACTGGCCACGGCGCGCCTGCTGAGACAGATATTTATGTTCGAGACCAAGAATCTTTACTCGATGCTTTCATCAAGTTGTTCGCCACGGGCGAAGAAGTCCAAGCTGGCCGTTTGAATAACATGGTTTCAGGGGTACTCACTTTGCTAGAGACTGCTTCGGGCAACCGCCAACAGGAGCTCGAAAGGGCCGTCAAACGACGCATTGATGAAGCAGACCGGCTCACCAACAGAAAGGAGAGGAAGAGGCAGCTTATCAGCATTTCCAGAACACTTCTTGTTTTACTTGAAAAGGCTTTAATTGCTGAAGAGCGAAATATGGTCATTATATCAAAGCTGGAGGCGTCTCTACAATACTTAGCTGAATCGCTGCCAAAACTTACAGACACAGCCGAATTAGCTCAATATGGAAAGGCGATTGAGTATTTGAACTCGACACACGAGCAGGCCGTACATTGATGTTGTAAGCATACCGGCTGTTGATAGGATCAATATACATGAATATCGCTTTAATACTTAGCTTCCGACAAAATTTGAGATGGATGTTTTTCCAAGACTGATCTTCTTAGTTTATTGCGTTCCTTGGTTGCTAGTGGTCTAGTCAGTGCATGCAGCTATTGGCTACCTACTCGTGGTAGGCTCTCAATCCCTGTCTTTGTGGATTCAAGTTATAAGCGCTGTCTGCTGATTGTGAGGGGTTGCTGCGCAATGTTGAGGCATAACAACAGTACGACAGCAACTCATCACTAACTGGCAAATTTGAGAAACATTATCTCATGTATTTTCCGATATGGAAAATGACAGCCAAGAGCCTGTAAACGACTACCAGTACCAGGCACTAAAAGATCGTCAATCGATCCGACTTCTGTACCTGCATACGTCTGATTCGTATCAACGGCTGCCTATCGAAGTTTCTCTTTGCGAATTTCCTCTCGATGCCTGTCCAAGTTTTGGCGCCCTGTCTTATGCATGGTCAATTGATGATGAGCCTGTCGCATCGTTTCGGGAATTGCTCTGCGATGGGGCGTCCATCAAGATAACAAAAAATTGTGAGGCCGCACTGAAGAGATTACGACGACCGAACCAAGACCAAATACTCTGGGTTGATGCGGTTTGTATCAACCAAGCCGATCTTGAAGAAAGAGGTCACCAAGTTCTCTTAATGCGCCAGATTTATACCCAGGCGTCTTGGGTCGCTTTGTGGATGGCGACGCGTCTACAGCCATCGACGAGGAGTCCGGCTTGCCTCTGTCTGATCTAGGAATGGACTATATCCACGACTTTGCACTTGAGATTGCAGAAAGAACAAATTCAGGTCAAGACGTAAACGAAGGGCCACTGTATCAGGAGTTTATAAAAGACCGGCAGGCATTCCAATATACTGAAAGCGAAGTCTTCACGCCCCGAGTGCGTGGTCTTTGGGATGTCTTTCATCGGAATTGGTGGAAAAGGTTATGGGTTATCCAGGAAGTTGCCTTGGCCAAACAACCGACGTTGCTATGCGGCTTGAAAGCAGAAGCTTTCCATAATCTCAAGATTGTTATTGAGGCCCTGATCAGATCCAAGCAGCCGGTCGAAGTCCTGGAGTTCAACACCCTCTTTATCGCACACACATTTCATCAGTTTCATGTACGACACATGATCGAAACTGGTACAATGAGTACGGTATCTCCTCCTGGGGTAAAGGCACTCGATATGCTGAACGCCACCCGCAATGCACAAGCTACGGATCCCCGGGACAAGATATATGGCATCCTTGGCTTTTTTGGCCCCCCAGAAACGGATCCGGAGAATATTTTCCCAGAACCCGATTATAAAAAGCCGGCTGCAGAGCTTTATGCTGATGTCTCGCGAGCCATAATTGTTAGCACCAAGAAATTGGACGTCATGAGCTCATGCTATGGCTTCTTCAAGTCATCGGTTCCTGATCTACCCTCGTGGGCAGCGTCTTGGAACGACACTCCTGTGCAATATTTTGATGTGAAAGCTTTTAACGCAGCAGGCTCTTCTAACGCCGTCTATGAAGGCTCCGACAATAAGCTGCTCATGCGAATAAAAGGTAGAGTCGTTGACTCTGTGAAACACCCAGGTCAAATACCAGAGTCAATAGGATATAGCAATGGGGCATGCATCGAACTATGGCGCTACTGGTGGAAATTTGCTTCTGTATTAGATTCCTATCCAACTGGAGAGGCTGTTTCCGACGTTTTTAAAGATACGCTTTGCTGGGGAAACAGCGTGGATTATACCCGACTACAGATTGGAGACAACAAGGAGAGTTTTGACGCTTGGTTAAAGATATTGGTTGGGACAGATGACACGGGCACAGCCGCCAAGCATATTTTTAATGGCGAAGAGTCGTTCAAGTATGCTCATAGAGCTACCTCAGTCACTTGGGGCCGCAATATGGGCATAACCGACAAAGGGTACCTAGCTATGGTGCCCATAGTAACCAAAGCCGAAGACAAGATTGTCATCTTCCAGGGCTCCAAGCTGCCTTTTATTGTACGAACTGAGGATGGCTTATCCAGGCTTGGGGGGCCTTGCTACGTGCGTGGAATGATGGACGGGGAATTTGCTACTGAGGACGCAGAAGCTATGGATGAATTGGAATGGTTTACCTTGAAGTAGCAAACTATCGTCCTATATAAATAACATTCTTTATAAAATGATGACACATTTGTTCACCTCTAATTCTTGGGTGAAAAAATGAAATGCACCTTGAGTGACAGTAAAGTATCCTGAACTTCTGTCACACGACCAATTCTCAATCGTAGTATTACAGGAAATATTGACCTATGACTTTTATCACTAAGCTCTCTAGCAGTTATTCTTTCAACTAACTTTTCAGCTGATGAGTGAATGGAGTAGCACTGCACATGGGGCATACTGTATCGATTTTCGATGTTTCGAGTTGCCGATGGATCGAGTTTGCTTCCGAGCGCAGATACGACGTATTCCGGGCCGTGAACTTGTGATGGCGGGGCAAACGATTGGCCGAGAAATTTGATACTGCCAATCACCAGTCTTTCAAATACGCTTACAATGCTCAAACTAGTAAAATTGCGGAGGTATTCGCATACGATGCATACGAGACATGCCCTAGAGCTGCAAGCTCTCAGGCGGCTCATCGCAAACTGCTCTGCCCCAGGTTAATGTGGAATTTCAAGCTCCGCGTCGGCCCAAATCTAGCTGGAAGCTGAAGATCTGCACTGCTTCGGGATTTACACGGCCTTTGCTGAGAACCAGATCTATGGCGACAGTAAGCTGATGGAAGGCGACGTCCTCCGGTGGCCGGCCGCTTAGCCGGTACAACTGAGTAAGAGGGATTTTATCCTTTATGACATGTATATTCGATGCGCATTCTCTACTCTGCGTTTCTCCTTCATTTTCCAGCTTACATGTATTGAACATACGGAATATAGGTGGCAATCCGGCATCGTTAGTGGCTAACCCACAGCTCCATAAATTACCAAAAACCTACCACAGGCCAGAGTCTTTTGCAGAATATTCTTTTGCTTTTAGCTCGTCAATAAATCGGTTGTTAATCTGTCATCATGGACCACCGTCAAGCCGGCGGTTCTGGCATACGCAAATCTGCTCTCTGGCTGTACCACGAGTCTGGAGTGCGGTCCGTCCATCTCACCGGCCGTGATGCATGGTTCGTCATCTTGGCGCGGACATGCCGCATGTTTGCCTTTGGAGGAGCCTCCCTCATCATGGCTCTCTTCTTTGCTACTCTGGGCTTTAGCGACCGTCAACTCGGGCTCTTCATGACAATGACGCTGGCGGGAGACTGTGTGCTCTCCTTTGCGCTCACGTTCATTGCGGATAACATTGGCAGACGCCGTGTCTTTATTGGCTCTGGCTTGCTGATGGCAGTCTCCGGACTGGCATTTGCCTATTTTGAGAACTTTTGGGTTCTGCTGCTTGCAGCCGTCATTGGAGTAATATCTGCCACTGGCAGCGACTTTGGGCCATTCCGGGCTATTGAAGAGTCCGTATTGTCTCATCTGACTACCCCGAAGACACGCCCGGATGTGCTGTCATGGTATATCGTAACGTCGAATCTTGGATCCGCTGCTGGTATAGAAGTAGCTGGTCGGGTTGTTGAAGCGTTAAAGAATCGTGATGGTTGGAGTGAGAAACGTGTATACCATGCCATCTTTTTGATCTATGTCGTCATGGGAGTTATCAACATGGGATTTGCCTTGTTCATGACTGACAATTGCGAAATCACGAAGCCTGAACCGTCGAAAGATGATGGCACCCAGGCTGCACAAGGACTTCTCAGCGAATCTGATGAAGAGATGGAGGGCGAAATAGCACCAGCAAACACCGAGCCTCCGGCGCCACAGAAGAAGAGCTTGTTTTCAGGGATATCCATGGCATCGATGTTCGTCATGTATAAATTATGGTTCCTTCTCACCGTCGATTCCTTGGCAGATGGCATGGCTTCATACGCGCTGACGAACTACTATCTCGACCGCAAGTTTCATCTACCCAAGTCACAACTTGGCGATTACATGTCCGCGAACTACATTCTTGGCGGTATATCCAGCGTCTTTGCTGGCCCTCTAGCACGACACTTGGGACTCATCAATACAATGGTCTTTACTCACTTGCCATCTTCAGTGGCCGTGCTGCTATTTCCGGCACCACAAGGGATTGTTCTCACAGTGATACTGCTGCTCATACGGGGTGGCCTAAACAACATGGATCAAGCTCCTCGAGCAGCCCTCATTGCTGCAGTTGTGAAGCCCGAGGAGCGGACGGCGGTTTTGGGAGTTACAAGCACACTACGGACATTGGCCTCGACCATCGGACCGAGCATAACAGGAGCTCTTGCAGATACGGACAAATTCTGGGTGGCGTTTGTGACTGCTGGTGCGCTGCGCGTGGCCTATGATCTGGGGCTGTGGGTGATGTTTGTGAATATGAAGCTGCACACGCATGAAGAAGGTGGTCAGGATTCAAGTAGGACGAGGAGAGTAGATGATGAGGAGGATTCGGTAGAGATGGATCCGTTCAAACGAGAAGAAGAGGAGCATGCCAGGTAATCTGCATAGTGGTATACAACCAGCGCATTCTCATTCATGTCATCTTGGCTACAAAAGATGTAAAATTATATATTAATTGGTAGTCCATTACTGCGTGCAACTCACTCGTATTCAAACTTCATTGTTTATACGATAGATGTAGAGGCAAAAAAAAAAAAAAAGTAGTAGCAAATGAGTGCTACTAGGCTGGTATCATTATGAGGCTGCAGGCAACCGTCGAAATGAACCAACTATATCCAGAAAAGGACAACTGCAGTCCGTCTTAGATGCCTTGGCTAGAGCGCATGGAGCGCATGGAGCGCAGCTGCCTGACCCAACCTCTGCACAGCCTTCCCTGAGCCGGGTGAGGCCTCACAATTCGCGCCTCATCGTCCAAGGGCCCTTGTGAACTATGCGCTTCGGTGAATGGCGTTGGATGCCATTATCCACCCAAGAGAATGTCTACAGATATGAATGCACGTGTGCATTGATGTACACGTATTTCTTACACTTGAACACTCTGAGAGGCAGATTTTCATCTTCATCTAAGCCTTACATAACGCCCTGTGCCGCGCCACAATGCAGAGGACAACACCAAAACATACAACTTGCCAATGGGAGTCGCATCTGCTAATCTGAGATGCATCATCGGCGATGGCTGTGCTGGACTTTGAGAGCTGTGATTGGTGCCGCTTTCGTATCAACCGATTTGGATCAGCAAATGCACTGACGGTTGATTGCCCAGCGCGGGCGTGCCTAAAGCACTGATGTAATGTCGATGCCTCCGCCCTGGACAGAATCTCGCTCCAAACACGGATGGAGACTGGAGTTTTATCGTTGGTGAGCCTCAAGAGTCCAGTACGCAACTTGCCTTCTTTTTTTTCCCTCTTTTTGTTTTCCCAGAGACCTAGCCACACAACTTTCATCGACTATGGAATCTATCGAGTTTACGGGACCCATGAAATCACCTAAGCGAGAGCGATACCCCTACAAAGATGATTTGTCCAGAAAACGCGATGCATTTCGTCTGATAACGTTATTGCGAGGGCAATGGAACGATGAGATTCGCTGCGAGCTTGATGTTTACTATCGAGATGAAGCTCGTTTCCCCTCATACAGAGCCCTGTCTTACGTCTGGGGACGTTGGAGACGCGATCCCCCAAAGATCCTAGTGAATGGCTACGCAATCAAAGTGACGAATAATCTTGAGATCGCTTTGAGACATTTGCGAGAAGAAAGAGTTGACATTAATCTCTGGGTTGATGCATTGGTGTGTACTCACTCAGCCTTCGCATTTGAAACAGTACAAGACGTTCTAACTGGCCATTAGTGTATTGATCAAAACAACACGACAGAGAGATCATCTCAGGTTTCTCAAATGCGCAACATTTACAGTACAGCCAGGGAAGTCATAATATTTCTCGGTGATGGGTCACATGCAGATTACGGCGCATCGCGTTTGCGCTCGAAAACTCCTCCAGGCCCCTGTCGGTTGTTTGGGATCGACGACATGAACATTCCACTTGCGCACCAAACTCTCGACAATTGGAAGACATCAACCCTAAAGAGCCCTGTTCAAGCCTTGGAAATATTCTCCTTCTTGGCCATAATAACTCAATTCCAAGACTCTTCAAGCCTCCTGAAATTCTTTAAAGAATTCCCAGAAGCACATGTCACCACGCTTTTCGAAGCGTTAAGGCGTACTCTACTTGTTGCCTGGTGGGACAGGATATGGGTGGTTCAAGAGGCCGTTGTCGCTCAAGACATTACTATGCGATACAGTGACGTTGCAGCGTCATGGGAATTTCTGGTTGAAGTTACAAGGAGTCTTTCTCGCTGGGACTTTGCATTCACGAGATATCCGAGCTCCATTTCGACCGATTGCTTGAAAGTTTTTAATCTCTTCTCGCGGATTTCTGATCTCGATCTTCATCGCAAGGATTGGAAAGCAATGCAACGCACAGATTTGTTATCACTGCTTCGATTCTTTGGTCACCGAAAAGCTTCTGACAACCGAGATAGAGTCTATGCACTCTTAGGGCTGTGCAGCGATGCTGTGGCCATAAGACCTAATTACCTATTAAATGAGGCAGAGGTGTACACCCAGGCAGCTCTTGCGATTATCAAAAATACCAGGTCCCTTTCTATCATGTATGGAGATCACAGTCGCAAAACAAGCCAGGGTTTGCCATCCTATATTCCTGATTGGAGCACAATACCTGACGAAAGTGATCGCCAACGAGCCAGGATTTTCAACCTTTATAATGCTTGCGGAGGTGTCATACCAATAATTGAGAGTCCCGAACTACGCAAGTTTTTACAATGTCTCAATGAAACAGATGATCCCAACCATTACCTGCACAAAGAGGCTGCCTTGGAATTGCAAAACGCATATAAAATGTCATTTACGGAGCCAGAGATTCAGAGCATCTGTACATCTCTGGTGAAATACTGCAATGGAACGAACCGCAATCATTTGGAGAAATACAGCTTGATCCAAAATTCTGGCCGTTCCCTAATAGCTAAGTGCATCAAGATTGGAACTGTAAGTGGCATTACGGAGCCATTATACACGTGTTCCGATATGCAATCAGCTGCAAAGGTGATTCATGGATGGTCACAAGTGCAAAAGGGCAACTGGGGGCTGTATACCACCAATTACGTGAATTGAGATTTCCTGAGCACCATCATGTCCGGTGTAAAGACAGCCCCAGGTGGATCCCTAAGACGACTCATACCTAGTGATATGCCCGCGTTGGAAGCTTGGTATCGCAAAAACATTGAACGTGAATCACTAGGTGAAGATCAACAAGAGTTAGTCGAACCTCTTGACGCTAAACGTGACAGTTTCACCGAGGCCTTGCGACTATCTGCGACCAAACGAACCATGTTTTTCATTGATTTCGATAAAACTGCCGTTGATACGCTCGTCGCAGGTTGTTTTATTTCGCTTCAAGCCATGAGGAATACACTTCTCAAGTGGGGTGACCGTTCTTTGACAGATGACTTGCTCAATGAGGGTGTATCGGTTTCTTTAGACCACCCGTTCTTCACAGCGATCCAACGCAGTCTTGAAAATGACCAGCTTTTCAAAATTGCCTCATCTATCACAGCGATGCAGCGCAGTACTTCTAGCGAAATGTATAAAGAATTTCTCAACAAATTTGCAGATCTTGTCAACAAACGCAAGGCAATCTTGCAACAAATTCAACAACTCAATTTCAGCCTACCTGCACATAGGGAGGAGTGTCTATTATCATATGGTGAATACTTCCATGCATATCATGACTTCATCCGCGATCGACAAAGTCTTAAAAGATTCATTATCGATGTATACAATAGCGTCTCCCATGAATATGGATATCTAGGCTTAGGCCCTTTGTTGATGAAGGAGGGTGATGAAATATATATTTTACCAGGAAGCCGTTCTCCGCTTGTTTTGCGACCTATCACTTCACGAACATATCAACTACTTGGCGATTGCTTTATCAATGGGGCAATGGACGGAGACTCTGTTACCGTGGGCGAAAATATAGTTGACTATATTGATTCTTTAGGTTCCAATTCCGAAAACCGTGACTCATGCTTTAGTATAGGGGCAGTTCAATCCGGCACAGCAACTGTCGCGGGAAAAATCGTTACTATAGAAATAGTGTGAAAACTACAAGTTAGAAATGAATGATAATACTCTCAATTATAAATGGCTATAAAGAAGGCAAGACTGTGGGTTCGCTGGTTTTAAGAGATAGATCACGTCGCCTTGCTGCAGTTTCATCCATAAATTTCTACTAAAACATAATGATCGAGAACATGTATCGCTACCGAGGTCTGCACACTTTACTCCAAACTAATATCCATGTTATACCAACAAGTCGCTATCGATTCAATAGCCAGCTATTCGTGCTCACAAGGCTGTAATCCGTACGTACTTGGCTATTCCGAAAAACCATCCTGGCCGACAGCATCAAACTCTGAATCGTCAATTGAATCGGCCACAATACCATCTGAACAACCCATGGCAAAGAACTGCTATCGCCGCTTCCTCCAGTGATGCTAATCCACGCGCCAAAAACCATGAGTCCGAAAACCGCCACGACGAACAGCAGGGCCGTCAGTCGCATAACAGATATCAACAAAGACAAAATGCGACCCAGAAAACCAAGAAAGCCATTACGGGCGTGGCTTTGCAGCGGAACTACACGGCTATCTTCCCAGTCTGCATAAATTCCGCGATATGTGACCACATGTGGCTGCATGACATCATACGTTTCCATCCCAGCAGAAAAGCCATCACTTCCACGCACATATCGAGTGATTTTCGGCACAGCCGAAATCATGACGCGAGTCCGTTTACGAATCTGATCATCTTGAGCCTCGCTGAGGCCATTCGAAGTCATCTTCTTCTCCTCTCCAATGCAGAGGTAGCTGAACTGGTATGCTTCGCCGGGCTGAACCCATTCAAAAACCGTAATCTTGGGAGATAGACGGATCGCCACGTTGAGCCACCCCGCAAGCGCAACGATATTGTGTAATGCCTGGTATGAGGTTTGAGACGGTGCGTCTTCTCCAATAGCAGAGTAGAGAGGCGAGAGCATGGCCACGATCTGTGCGGTGATTTTGTCTACTCTTTTCCAGAATAAAGGCGGGATGCCGCCCGTTGCCTCAAGATAGACTCTGTTGGTCTTTGCCCGAAGATCCGTCCTTTTAAAGCCTGCAACGCCGTTAGCTAAACTGTCCATATCACCTCATTAAACGGACCATCAAGCACTCATACCTTCGACGTTGAGCATGGAACTGTCCTCTATCCGCAGCACTTCCGCATGCTCAGGCCCAGCCCCAAACAATAGATCGAAAAACACATGCTTATCCAGCACCATCATCATCACGCCCGACAAAAGCGCGCATCGATACGGTCGTGATCTCAACAGCTTGTCCCATCCTCCATCGGCGCCTGGTCGAGCAATCATGCCCGCAAAGCTCAGAAATTCCTTGGAATGCCTCTTCGTCCAGAGGGATTTTTTTGAGGTGACTGCTTTTTTGCCGATGCCATTTTTGATGAACTTGTTGATTTCGGAATATAGCAATGAGAATCCTTCTTCGAAGCCTGCGTCTGGTATTTCTGCCTTGAGCTCGGAGAACGGGAGTTCACGCTGGCTTGGACGAGTTGTCTTGCGCTGGCGAGGCATCTTTGCTATTGATGTAATTTGCTGTCTCCAGAGCAACGGCTAGTCGGTATTGTTAATGCTTCTAGTCTCAGTTCAAGCTGAGATTTCGACTTTTAATGGTTGAAGAGCTCTTGCGATCCGGTAAAGAGAGAAATGCTGGTCTCATAGCTGTCAGACTAGCGGTCAGGTCCTGCATCTTATCCTACATATGTACGCTTATATCCAGGGCTTATTCGGAGTCTCCTACAATAGTAATGTCTTTCACAAAAAGATTCTTTCATTTGATGGAAGAGTGTCCGGTTGTTCTACGTACAAACAGTCGATGCCTCATTCACCCATCATCATAAAGAGGGGCGTTCCAACGTCGCGCAACTTCGTAAATGAAACGCTTGTGTAGTGATGAAAGACAACAACTCAGGATACAGCAAAGAAAGTGAACGTAAAGATGGACAAAGACAGAGTTCCTTTGGGTTTGATTCAGCTCTTTGTGATGAGAACGTGCGCCTTTTATTTTAAAGAACCGTCAACTGGTCTTGAACAATTTATGTACGCTGCCACTAATGCTGCTAGACTGAAAAATAGCCGCCTACGCTTTCATAGCCTCAACTCCTACGAGACCCACACATACCGTCATAATTGATCTCAAACATTGTAAAGTATGAAACGGAGGACAAAAAAAGAAAATTGGTATTGCCTGGTATACAAGAGAAAAAATGAGTAGATTTTTTAGATGCTTTTGTAGATTAGAAATGCTCTTTCCAGAAGCGGAACTCGACCTCGCGCGCTGTGGCAGCTTTGCAGGCAGTCTTGATATCACGAGCTGTAAAAATTAAACGTTAGCAAGGTTACACGTGTTTTGGGAGATAAATACCGGGAAAAAATATATCTTACCTGCAACAGAGGGACCACAGAAGTAAACACCAACGGTCGTCTTCATGCTTCCTTCCAGACCGCCAAGATACGTTCTGTCAAGGATACCGTCTCGCATAGTTCTGAAGAGGCGAGCAAAGTTGGGTCGGCCGAATTGTGTTCGGGACTTGAGCTCAGTAAGGGGATCCATTTCAGCACCCACACTGTTCAGAACAATGTTCTGGGTGGTATCCATGTCCAGTCGCTGGGTGAGGTAAGTGTGGATCTTGAGGAACTCAACACCGGAGCTTCCAGGGATGCGAGCCGCTTCATTAGATTGCTCTTCGAGAGAGGAGAGCAGGGTCTGGAACCACTCAAAGGAACCGGTATCCTTGCAAACCCAGATGAACTCCACACGGCGAAGACGAGTGGGAGGGTTGGGAGAGTTTCGGAGATGCCAGATGTTCTTCAGGATAGAAGCCCAGGGGGTGACACCAATACCAGTACCGATCAGAACAGCGATTTCATTCTCAAAGACGTCTTCGGCGGGAGCTCCGTAGGGTCCGTCAATGCGAAGGGCAGGCATCTGCTGACCATTCTGCAGAGCGACCTCGTACATACCCATAGGGTCGACGCCGTCGTAAAACTTGGCCTGAGCAGCACCAGCACCAAGGGCATCTCCCAGCTGACCAGTGAAGTCACCGACTTGTCGAACATGGACTGAGACATAAGGATCAAATGGGCATGAGGTGATGGTAAAGGGATGCCACTGGTACTTGGAGATGGAAGGCACCTGGAGGAAGAGCCACTGGCCAGCCTTGTACTTGAAGGAAGGCTTGTTGAACTGGATCTCGACAACGTCGTACGGGTGTCGGATAACACGAGTAATCTTGGTCTCGCGGCGAGCACGAACCTCACGGTACAGACGCTCAATCAGGTAGAAACCTCCAGTGAAGAGCTCCCATCGCCATCCGAGATAACCGATGCAGTGCGACCAGTACTGCTCTCCCTCAAAAGGTGAAAATCCGTCAACAGAGTCGCGAACGAAGCAGCCGACGGTGTGTGTGTAGAGAGCCAAGAAGAAAGGAATGAACAGGTGGTGAGTATACCAGAAGGTCTCGAAAGACTGTTGACGTATACGGGAATGAGCAGTGGTATACATGAGCATCATGCAGAAGAGCATGACATGGCCAGTAATGCCACCAGGCTGAGCGTAGTGGATCTGCAGAGCAGTGACCGGACGGATCTGTCTCTTCTCAACGTTGTAGAAGTTGACATAGTGAGCTGAGGTGTGGAGGATGGCGAAAAAGAGCATTGCGTACGCAAGTTGGCGATGCATCCACAAGTTCTCATCGAGCGGGAGGAAGCGAATCTTGGGTCGGATCCAGCGCATAATGGTTCGGCAGACGGGAAGCAAGATCAGCATGCAGTCGACGCTGAGAACCAGACCGGCACCTCGGGAAATCCACACGGAGAACTTGAGCGTATTCAGGCCTGCTAATCTAGGATCCTCGGCTTGTTTCCACCTGATGCATTCGTTAGCATGAACAACATGATATTTGCGCCGCTAGAACAGAAGGGCTTACCATCCATAAGCAAAAAGTCCAAAGTGAAAAGTCCAAAACAGAATATGATAGAAGAACTTCTGAACAGTGAACTGCTTGCGAGCCAGTTCGCTATATGTGAGTTGGCCAGCCATCTTGGATATTTGGTTCTGAATTTCCTCCTCTTAACGATTGAAATTGTTTGCGATTAAATAGTCGACCCGCGACAATACTGAAAAATTATGATAGGACGCCTCGGGGTTTCAACCCAGTGCAAGCAGGTTCCCAACTCTGATATTAACCGTATTTCGTGTATCCAAACCCAGGTCCCAAAATTTCGTTAATGCGATTGGAATAAGTGAAAGAAATCCGAATCGGAGGTGATTGATTAGAATTTGAAAAGAGTGACCTGAGCCAGCAGTTGACAGAAGGGAAGGTCCAAGAGGACGTCCGAAGAGAAAGAAAGTACAATAAAAAATAAAATAAAAACAAATGGCTGCTTTTTTGGCCCGCCTAACGACAGCTGGGGGAAACAAGAAGGAAGAGAAGAAGCCAAGAAGACGGGCGTTGCCGTAAGATAAAGAGAGTCTCCTGGTTGGGCTTGAAACGCGGACAGGCTGGAGATGGCCGGCGGGGATGAGCTGGCAGGGCCCAAAATTCCTTTGACTTCGGATCTGGACGTTCCCTGTAGCATGAAACAGCAGACCCCTGCAGCTGCGAAGCGAACCGCCGCCAAATGGCACGATGAGGCCCTGAAGGCTGTTGGCTTGAGCCTCTTGGCTGGATCGGTGGTGGCAGCGGTGGGCTGGCTAGTCCCTGTGTGGCCTGCACAGCTTGCCAGAAGAAACAATGAAGAATGTGAAGGCAAAGATCACGGCGCAGAGGTGAGACTCTCGTGGAGCGGATTGTGCGACGGCGAACGTGAGAGCTGGCCGACGGGACGCTGGTAGCGGCGTTTCGGGCGCTGGCTCAGGGGGCCTTCGGGGGGGTCTCTTGGGGCGTGTGCGTTTGAGAGTGCGCTGAAGCTGTCAAATTTGTGCACTTTTGGCGGACGTGCTCCAAGCTTTCTGTGATAATTCGGAAGCACCCCTTGACGGCAGAATCCAGAGATGATTTTTGAAGAAGATTGATTTGCAAATGCACGCAGAGAGTTGGACAGACATGCGGCGTATAAGTCGCCTGCAGGTCGCCTTACCGCATCGCTTTTTTTTGTGTCCAAAAATAGTGCCCAACAGTCAGTCACATCGAAGCCGCCGGCCCATCTCTGTCCTCCCTCCTCTTCGAGGCTCTGCGCGCGCTGTGAGTGGTCTGCTGCAGTTTAGTCAGGGAGCAGCTTGGCGATGCCAGTCCTGATGCGGCAACGGTCCCCTGGGCTCGGCGCTTAAAACTTCAGTGGCTGGCCAACAAGAGTCTAGAGTTGCATCCCCTGAATTAGCTGCATGGTGATGGGCTGCGGGGTCTACCGCCATGAAGAGAATCTGCCACGATGCCGAGAGCATTATCACTGTGATGCCGGGATTTGCTCGTTACGGTGATTCAAACCCAGGCATCTCGTGATGTCAGCTTGGCAAACGGACGATTTGGCTGTTGGAATCGAACGATACTATTCTGCTGTGACAGGTGCACTTTTTTGGAATCACCCAGAGGAAACAAGGAGCGCTTAGCTTGACTGATACTCCATTAAACTTGGGACTTCATTCGCATTTTCGCTAGATCTCATTGTATCTGCACTACCTCTTCTAGTAATCCGGCTATCACCTTCAAGGCTTCAACTGGGTCAGGCTTGATAAAAGGTGCCGCTACCGGCTATCTGGTTGCGCCCCAAGGTTGCTGCTCCTGGCGCCCATCTCGTTTCCCCATGCCGTCCGTCCAATGATTGACACGGCCATGAGGTTATGTATATGTAAGATTATCTAACATCTACACTTGATTAAGCTTTGATAGATTCTGGCTAGTACTCCTCACTAACTGTTCGAATGTTCTTCCTTTTCCTCCTTATTGACGGAGCAATGACGGACGGAGATTCATACAAGAGATAACTTGTGGATGTCCAACTGAAACGAGTGGCAACCTCAAACAGTAGTGCCCTTGATAGATGGACGCCCTGCATTTTGCGCACAAGCACTACTGGCCCATTATGGAGATGACCAATTTTGATGCTGCTTAGACGAGGAGCCAGTCCCACGCCTGGAATTGGGGCCTCTCCTTAGATTTTAGCGCACCTCCTGCGGCCCCTCCCATCCGAGGCCTTGAAACTCTTGGGATGATTCCTCGCCAATTGTGCCGGCATTGGCCAAGCGGCCAAGCGCATTGGCAGAGAGGTACAGGTCACATCGAATACTTTGACAGGAAACATTCATGCGATGATGAAAGAATCGTACGATTTTTTGCGAAAGCCCTCCAACGCTCCCACGTGGCGTGATCCAGTAGGTTTTGCTATAAAACTGTGCCTCTCGCATGCTCAAAATCGTTCTATTCTCTGTTTTGCAACTTGCCAACTCCTCCCATCTACATCCTGCGAATACTCTCGATCCCACAACTTCACACTTACCATCGGAAGCCGAATACGAAGTACGACGTGCCGACGATACTTGTAGTAGCGTGTTAGAGAAGGACAGGACAGGAGTCGCTACGCCAATATTCCGAGCTCGTGCGGCAGAAAGCAAAACACGGTCCAGGGGATGCTCGCCGCTCATTAGCTGCATTGGACACGGTTAGCCACTCGGCTGGACCAAAAGGAAAAAAAAGGATGTGAAAGGAGTTGGCAACGGGATGATCGCTCAGCACGCGTTTTGAAAACTGCAAGTAGCAGAGGCCCCGAAACCCGACGAAGGTCTCTGTCTTTCTGGATGTGAAGGATTCGACGCATTTGTGTGACATCGTCTGCTTTCTGCCTTTTGAGACTCTCGCTGTCAATCAAGGCGCCTCATCGCGATTGGCGATCTCCGATTTCCAGTACCTGCTCCAGCAAATGGCCCACTACAACTGCTAGAGCAATTCTGAGGATTAGAGCCACCACATACGTATTGATTTCGTCGCCCAGCGCCTGTAACTGACTTGCGGGCGCTGTAGTAGGCATCACGTAGTCGACAGCGATGGAAGTGATTTCTGATATCCCAGGTATGCCAACTCGCAGCCACTTGTAGAAAGCGACAGGCTTCGTCTGGTGCCCTTTTTGGCATCTGCTGCTTCTTGGTGCAGCAGAAGCTTGGCTTCCATGCATTGCATGAATCTTATGACGTTCCCCCCAGACTTTTGTGTAGAGCAAATTCCAGTCGCATCTATTTTTGCGTCTGGGTGCTGGCCACTGAGCGTTGAGCCCAACGTAATGGCGGTAGCATTGCCAAGTCCGCTTTGTGGGGAGTGGCCTCACTGCCGAGAATATGACGTAGCAGTGATACTGTTGTGGTCGATGCCGATCCAACGGCTAGATGACAGCACGGCGCATGAAAATTGGCAGTTTGAAAGGTTAAAAAAGGGCTGCTCGTTTGACAAAAATTGATTCAACAAAAATTGATTCAACTGCATCCAATGTGTATACTTGCTTCTTTGCTGCCACACCCGCTATCCGTCCAATCCATGCCTGCGTGACTGCGGTGCGTGTTCAGAGCTTCAAAATGGCTGGCAATGGCAAAGATGATGTAGAGCACGCTCGTCGCTATGAAGCTCCGTATAACGCAAGACACCCAATCCCGACCATCTCCAGATATCGTGAGGAAAAAGAAGAAAGACAGCAAAATGCGCTCAAAGGCGACACCGATGATTTCGGCCGCTCTTCCCAGGCTGGAGACGATTGGAGCCAAGATGACGAAAAAGCCGATACTCAATCCGAATCCGAAGTAGAAGCAGCATTGGAGGAACCAGAAGCAGAGGAGTCGATCAAAGACACGTCAGAGGTTGACCCCTCCAAGCTCGATCCTCGAAAGCTCAAGAAAGATTCCAAGAAAGAAAGGGCTGAACGTGAAGTCACCGATCCGGTTACCCATCTGCCGGTAAAGATACACGATTTCACAGATAGTGCTCTAAAAGAACTGGACCAAAACGAGGACCCGTTTGCGCAGACAAAGAGGACGGGTTCTGGGGTAGACGAAAAGAACAAGCCCGATTCCGAATTGCGAAAGGAGCAACAAAATTCGCAAAAGAAGCATCATGCCTTGATGAACCAATTCCCACCGCCCGACCTCGACTTTCTACGCCAAGAAATCGCCAGTGCAAGCAACCGTGGATTCTTGGCCTCGCTCGCCGGCGCATGCACTATCTTGGCTGTCGTTTGCGTACTTCGCGAAACGATACCTATGGATTTACATCAGGCTGCGGGATGGGGAGCCACTGCTCAGAGCATACTGCTATGGACCACTCTAGTTGGTGCTGGTGCAGGAGCATTTGGCGCTCTCATATTTGGCGTGAGAGACTGGACGGCAAAAAAGGTCGATAATGCGATACAAGACGAGATATGGCGGACGCAACGCCGGCACATGGAGCACGAGACAAAGAAGTACGATCGAGAAACGACGCTATGGCTTAACTCTTTGCTCAGTTCGGTGTGGCCGCTTATCAATCCCGACCTATTCACCAGCCTAGCAGATACGTTGGAAGATGTAATGCAAGCTTCTCTGCCAAAGCTCATACGAATGGTGAGTGTGGATGACATTGGTCAAGGCAGCGAATCGCTGCGCATCCTCGGCATTCGATGGCTACCAACCGGAGCAGCTGCTCAAGCTGTAACAGAGGACGGCAAAATCATCTCAGATAAAGACAAGGACAAAAACAGTCGCAGCAACACAGGCCTAGAGGAAACTGAAGAAAACGACGACGACAGCAAAAGTGATAATTCAGTCTTTAGAGGCATGGAAGCCGAGGAAGGCGACTTCATCAACTTGGAAGTTGCTTTCGCATACAGGACGCGATCCACCAGCAAATCTTTCAAAGAGAGGACCAAGGATATGCATCTTTACTTGGCTTTCTATCTTCCTGGAAACTTGAAGATTCCCGTTTGGGTTGATCTGCACGGAGCTGTTGGCACCATGAGACTGCGGCTGCAGCTCACTCCAGATCCTCCATTCTTTGACCTTTGCACGCTGACTCTGCTCGGTCAGCCCAAAGTGAACCTGAGCTGCGTGCCTTTGAGCAAGCACGGCCTAAATATCATGGACGTACCATTCATTAGCAATTTCGTGCAGTCCGCTGTTGATGCCGCAATGGCGCAGTATGTAGCGCCCAAGAGTCTCACGTTGAGCCTCAAAGACATGCTCGCAGGAGACGACTTCAAGAAGGATACATATGCAAAGGGCGTTATCATGATTCATATCAAGCGCGGCTACGACTTTAAGATGGGAGATTCGGGCATACCGCTTCTCAAAGACTCCAGCTCAGATCCCTACGTATCTGTCGGATGGGCAAAATTTGGCAAAGTCCTCTGGAGCACGCGCGTTCTTCTCTCTGAGATGGAACCATACTGGCACGAGACTTGCTTTGTACTAGTCACCCCCGAAGAGCTAAACATTGACGAAAGACTGCGGGTACAGCTTTGGGACTCTGATCGCTTCACCGCAGATGATGATCTCGGCCGAATTGAAGTCGATCTCAAGGAGCTTATGCAAAGGGATGAGTCAAATGGACGCATGTGGGATCGTACAGATGGCTTCAGAGCGCTGAGATCTGGCGATAACATGCCAGGGAAGCTCGAATGGAGTATTGGCTACTTTTCCAAAGCAAGGCTTCAGGAATGCCAATTCAACCAGCAGACTCACGACCCGGAAGTGAGAACAATGGAGCAGCTGAAAGATAAAGTCAGCCAAAGATGCGAGCGAAAGCTTCGAGAGGCCATTTTTAAAGGTGCTTCTGATCGTGAGGAGAGCGAACTGCAGCAGCAAAAGTTGCAAGAGCTCAAGGCAGAGCAAGACGCAATGATCATTTCGGCACCGCCGCCGGATGGATATCCCAGCGGCATCCTTAGCCTACAGATTCACAACATTACTGGCCTCGAAGTACAGAAGCTTAGCAAGGATCTCAAGGATAAAGACGGTAGTGCGAGTGACGAGGAGACCGGCGACAGTCTGCCAAGCGCGTACTGCACGGTCATCATCAACCATAACAAAACTTACAAAACGCGCACCAAGCCCCAAAATTCGAAGCCATTCTTCAATGCCAGCTGCGAGCGTTTCATTCGAGACTGGAGATCGTGCGAAGTATACGTTTCTGTTCGAGACGCGAGGCTGCACGAAGACCATCCGTTGTTGGGAATTGTCCGCCTGCCTTTACGCGAAGTATTTGAAAAACGCTCGCAAAGGAACGGATTCTGGCCCATATCTGGAGGCATTGGATACGGAAAGATCAGACTGTCCATGGTGTGGCGCAGCGTCCAGCTTCAAGCTCCGCGCAGCCTAATCGGATGGCAGTACGGCACGGTCAATGTTCAACCAATAGCAAAGAGTTCAGATTGCCCTCCGGAATTGAAGCATGCAAAACTGAAGCTGAGAACAGATATTAGCAGTGGGAAAATGTACTCCCGTGGATCTGATGTGGCCATGTGGGCCGCGAGCAAAGAGCGACCTCTCAACCTTGCCGTACAAAAGCGATACAGCAGCTGCTTTTCTATTGCCTTCAAAGATAAGAAAAAGGTGGTGGGAGACAAGGTTGCCGCGTTCAGTGTGTGCTGGTTGAAAGACCTCCCGGACGAAGAAGAGATGACTCTCGAGCTGCCAATCTGGAAAGGCGACATCAAGAGAGCTACCACGAATTGCCTGGATGAGTGTGGGGAGCGGATCGGCACTCTCAAGCTACAAGTCACATATTGGCCAGGGATGGTGGGTTTGATCTTTTTGACGTACCCTACAAACACGAGAATATGCTAACTTTTCTTCTTTCCTATAGGGCTCTGCACATTCAGAATGGGCTAATAACAATGACCATATGCGAGATGTTGTTGAAGTAGTCGACGCCGCAAGAGATGGTCTGAGAGATGACGAGCTGGAGAGAGAAGCAGGAATTGTGGACGAAGAAATTTCGAGTGACAGCGACAGCTCCGCCGACCACGACTATATACCAGATGGCAGTGCGGAACATAAACAAGGCCCGCTAGACCAGATACGAGATTATAAACGCAGAGATAAGGCCCTACACAGACAGCATCGTGGGCTTATGCAATGGAAGGTAAGAATGCCCGGACTGCGGGGGGAGAGATGTACGACACGAAGCTAACCGCGACTGCAGGCACCTCGGACAGCTAAATGGGTGAAGCACAAGCTGGACAAGGCGGAAAGCAGCGTCACGAATCTGCTCGATCACCGTAGCAAAGACGCTGGAATTGAAACTGAGGTATAACGTCGCCCTCCAAAAGAGGTGGATATCATGTAGTATTCAGAACGATCATGGTCTATAATATAATGACAGTGACTAATCTAGCTTTAATAACAACAATCACACTCAAAGAAACCCCCCCCCCCCCATTCGAACGAAATAGAACTGTGAAGAAAGACACAAGTAGAAGCATGATAAAGAGGCGGCTCCAGGATTTCCAGTTATAGGCTTTATGATAAACCCGATATTTTTTTAGTGTTAAAACAGTTGACCTTTGGCCAGTTAGTCATCTCTCGTAGACGAGTCCCCGAGCAAGTCAGCTTCCGAGGATGGTATAGGAGCGGTGTTGTTCTTACGGTTCCGCTTCGATCGCACCTCAACGGCCACGGGCTGTGGGGTAGGCTCATCGTCTTCCGGATCATCGCGGTAGCGCTCAGGGGCATCTTCGTCCAGGAAGGTAGAGGGAGCTAGCAAGGGAGCATCACTGCGGTGCCACGGAAATCTTAGACCCAAATTCAAATTCTTGATACTCTGAAGCCAGGGGATCTCAGGCAGCGAAGAAGGCCGTAGGTGGTGTTCGCAGTTTGGACAGTCTGCGGGAAGAATTTGCCAGGCAACCCACTGTAAGTAGCCGTGAATAGCGAGCCCCTGGTAGACGGCCAGAGTCGCAGCAAAGAGGTGGCAGAAGCTGCACGACGCACGTCAGCATCAACTCCTCAAGGACAGCGTAGAGGGAGACTCACAAGCTTGTCAGGATAGGCAGAGTCGCATAGGCAGCTAGCATACTAAGCGAAGCTGAGCGGCCATGGTGGGTCCATGTGAAGACGAGGACGATCATCAACGCCGCAGCAAGTATCACGTCGTGGAGAAACACCAAGATGGGATGCGTCAAGACGGCGCGGATGGAAAAGCCGCCGTGTGCGGATCCAATAGACTCGACGTCGGCATCCTGGCGGTGGCTTCTGGCAGCACGTAGCAGCGCGATCGACGTAGCAACGGAAAAGGCCTGCGGGATCAGTCCAACAGCGGGAACAGGTTTATGCGACAGGACGCCGTGGGCAATGCACAGCGCAAAGGACGGGACGAAAGACGCGACAGCGAGGATGCGCAGCGGGCGGGCAGCCGCGTCAGCGCCTGATTCCTCCATAGTAGGTGGCGGTGGTGAATAGACGACGGGCTGCAGGTGACTGGAGGGCGAGATTCGCGCGGGTTTATAAGGAGGACGGTGGGATCTCAGACAGCTCCAGCTGTCTTCAGCTGTTTACTTTTGATCGTGGCTTGCGCTGTCAGGAGGAGCTCAGCCAAATGGCGGAGAATTTAGCAGCGGAAAGAACCGCCCCCTCTCCAGCACCCCACGTCCTGGGTTGACAAGGTCAGTTAGTGCGTAGCCAATAGCGGGCTCTTGTACCTGAGCGACAGCAGCTGATTAGGGGAGTGGGGTGGCACAGTGGCACAGAGGCAAGCTTGATTCAACGACATGGCAAAGATGTCGATGGGCAGCAGGGGAACTACGCAAACTGAATAGATATTTGCCGATTATAGAGCAATGTTTGCATGAAATATGATAGATTTAGAGATGCCGTAGGTGAGTAATTGTATTTCGTTTTAACTGTAGTTATTTTTCACTAGATGCTGTGGACTTTTTGCGCTGACAACTGCTGCAGAACATGAGAACACCAAGCGTATAAGTGGCCGGGATTGCCTACCACCAACCAGATATTCATCGCCCAACGACCCCCCCGCGTATGAACTGCCGTTGCCTGGCCGTCGATTGATTTTCATCTGATGTTGCCAACTGGATACCAGTGTTTAGATCTGCCAATGAGCATCGTAGTGAGGGAAAAGTGAGAGCCAAAGCTGTTTCATCTGTCACGACCTGGCAGCTGGCGAACAGTCACGCATACAATAACTGACGAAAAAGTGAAAAAACAACGCTTAATTGGCCAAAACTTGCTCAAAGCCATTTGGCTGCAGATTCTGAGAAAAAATAAACAAATATCCCCCAAGCCCCCGGGCTTTTCCCTCTTCTCTCTCCCCTTTCCTTCTCCAGTTACCATCATCATCAAGACCATCACAAGAAACAAGCACACAAGCGAAAGAACGACCTCACCACTGACAGACAAAATGGATTACCAAACCATTTTCACCATCTTGTTCGACCTCGCCCTGTTGTACCCGTACCTACGGGCTCTTTTCCCCTTTGTGACCAAAATGGCCATCGCCCTCTGGCCATTGGTTTCCTCCTACCTCTCCTTTGTCGCAGCATTCGCCGCGGACAAGAACTTTGTCGTCGCTGTGGTGTCTTGGCTCTCCCTACTTCGGTACTGGAAGCCCTGGGCCGCTGCGACGGCTGACCTACGTGAGGAAGTCGATCTCGCGATTGACCTCGTATTTCTCGTGTGGTTCCTGATGGGCGTTCCAATCATTGTCATGACAATCTGGTTCGGCCTGATGGGAGTTCTTCGTCTTGCCGGCAACGAAATAGTCCGCCGAATCCATGACGCCATGGACTTCGAAATCGACCTCACGGATTACATCGTCAAATGCTACAGCCCCATGACGCCAGGGTCCACCGGTGATCGCATCATGGCCCTGCAATTGGCAGCCCAAAAATACGACAAAGAACTCGTTTGGCAACGTACCCCCTCGCACTTGTACCTGTACCTCCTCGACCGACATCGACCGGACCCTATCTTTGGTAGACGCCCGCGCCGCGCCGTCAAGGAGCCGTCCTTCACAGACGAACAGTTGCGAGCCCAAAAGGAGTTCAAGAAAGTTGTTATGGAGCGCGCCAGACAAGTCTTGGCAGCAAGGAAGAACGGAGGAACCACCGTTGAGCAACCGGTTATCGATCTGAAGCCGACAACATCCGACATCGAAGAGCACGCCCCGGCTGCTCCATCAGTGCCTCAGCCAAGAGAGACCCAGTCTTCTGCTTGGCCCACTGATCCCGAGTCTGAGAAAGTCACCGACGACGTGACGATTGCCAACGGACCAATAGAGACCGAGGAACCCGCGGACAGGACACAGTCCAGAGGTGAAGGTCTGGTCGGACCCAGCCCGAAAGCACCAGAGCCCGAGGCCTCATCTGGGGTGGAAGGCAATGGCTTGCTGGAGGGTGACGAAGACAGCCGAGCTGAGGAACCGGAGAGCTCGCATGAGCAGGAAGGTGAAAGCTCCGCCGAGGAACCCAAGTCCTCATCTGGGGAGGAGGGTGAAGGCCTGGCCGAGGAACTTGAGTCTTCATCTGAAGAGGATGGTGAAGGCCCGCTGTACAAAGTCGACACAGCCAACGACCTCGAGATCTCATTTGAGGTGGAAGGCGAGGTGCCATTGTCGACAGCCACGGTACCCGAAGCGGCCCAGGAACCGGAGTCCTCGTATGAGGAGGAAGGTGAAAGCCTGCTGAACATCGACACAGCCCCAGCCGAGGAACCTGATACCTCCATGGAGGTGGATGGTGAAGGTTGGTCCACCATGGCGCCTGTCCCAGAGTCGTCGTCTGACGATGGACTCCCAGTCGCCGGTGGCAACATGGACGAGACCTCCCATGGGGTGGAGTCCGACGTTGAGATGGCTGATGCCGAGCCCCTCGCGGGGATGGCGGTACCAAGGCCATCATATGATCTGTGTATGGACGTTTCCAACTCTCAGGAAACCATCCTGCCATTGGAAGTCGCGGCGGCATGGCCTCTTGCTGGTCAAGAGCCTGTCAGCTGTGACGATACCCGCGGATGGTTGGACGTGTCGCCTGCTCTTCAAAGCGCTCAGAACGTCGTCGAGGCCCAGTAGGACGGGACCGACTTTACGACTGAGCTCTCAGCAGCTGCTGACTGCCATTCATACCTGGAGGTGGATTATGCCACCATGGATCCCGACCTTCTCGATCGTCAAATGGACGATCTTCTTTCCGGCGATGCCAACGGAACGCAACCCGCAACCGCCGACTCCTGGTTCGAGGAGTACGAGGCGTGGCTAGCAACCATTCCTGCGGTCGCCGATACCACCACCGCCGCCAACATCATCGACGAAGACGAAGAGATGGCAGACGCCGGATTGGCCCCACGTTGGGGATCATACCGAGGCGCGCCTGATTTTGATTCGGACGATGATGACGACTCGGTCACCGACGAGGAGTCGCCTATTTCCGACTCCTTCGTTCCATCCGGCCTTCGGGCGTCTGGCATGGACGAAGAAATGGCCTCCTTGGACAGAGTTGGCAGCGAAGTGCCCAACACCGACGTAGAGTACCTTACTGCAGCTATTGCTCAGTATACTCTTACCGGGGTGGAGGACATCATCATCATCGACGAGCGGCAACCTTCCCAGGAAGATGTCGACATGGTGGAGTTCCAAAAGCTACTCTCTCCTGTCATCGTTTTTAACAACATGACAGAGCCGGCGGAGCCCACTGACAACGCGACGGAGCTCAACAGGTCAATCCCCCCTGTTATCGAGATGACGGAACCCGAAGAACCAACCCCAACTGTCGTCTATGCGACAGGGTTCGAGGGGTCAATTTCCCACGTCGTCGAGATGGCAAAGCCTGAAGAGCCAATTTCCCCCGTCGACGACATCGTTCCGGATGCCGCTCCAAACTCACCCGACCAAAGCGTTTCGCCCCCGCGAACACCTTACATGGGTGAAGATGATGAAGATTGGGATGAGCAGGAGGACTCAATTGATCTGGAGGAGATGTTCGATTTCATGCTGGAGCGTACGCCTCCGCAGACTCCGACACGCGCCAGATCAACGAGTGATTCAGCGGCTGAGTTTTCCGGCGAGGATTCCCCCTCGTTGGAACTTTCCCCTACTTCGCTCGTGCTCTCGCCTGGGTCTTCCCTCGCTGATGAGCTTGAGGCCGCCATGCTCGCGCGGACACCACCACGATCGTTTTCTCGATCGCCGTCACCAGACCAGGACGTGCCCCTCTGGGCGTTCCCCCCTGACATGGTGGACAATTCAGCTGGTGCCGCCACCAGTCTCTCTTTGAACGATCTGTTCAACAATCGTCAGACAATCGAGGCCAACCCTCCGACCGAAACCGCCGCTGACGACGTTTCGAACGAGAATTCAGCCTCGACGGATTGCATACCTGGACCGGACTCAGTCACAGAGGCGCAAGAGCCACCTTCAGGGGATCATACCCAGGCGGGCAGCTCCGAGTCCCCCGACGAGGACGCCACCCTGGCCTCTGAAGCAGTTGTTGATGAAGAGCAACAACCTGAGACCGAGTCCCCAACTCCAGTCACAATCCCGACGATCATAGTCACTCCTGAGCCGAACCGAATGAAAGAGGTCGAGGTCGCGCCCATCCGGATGGGAGGACTCCTCCTCCCTGGCGGAAATCTAGTTCTGCCCGCGACTCCCGCCCCCATGATCCCGTTGCCGCAGCAAGTCAAGACTCCCGACGCAGAAGAGATGAAGAAGCAGAAGGAGGAGAGCTTAGCTCGGGACCTGCGCAACGTCATGAGGAGGCGCCGACCTGCTTCACTTTTTCACCCCAAGCTACCGCAGAAGGCTTCGGCCCTCATCCGCTCACCAGACGCCGCAGAGAGAGAAGCCCAGCTTCGATCTCCGCAGTCCTTCCATGCCTTGTCTCGCGCTGGAAGCGACGCTGATGGTGGAGTGGATGCCGAAGACGAAGGAGCGGCAAAGGTGATTCTCGCTTCGCCCGCCGTTATGAAGGCGATTCGAGCGAGTGAGGCTCGGAGAGATGTTCTGCATGAGGGCAATGCAGACGAAAGATGATGCCTGGCGCTCACTTTCTTTTTTTTTTCTTTTCTTGTTTCTTAATCATAATGATGGATATGATGATCAACAATATTCTAGCTCCCCGACTGCTTTTTTGGAGTTTTCTTGTTTCGGTTTTTCCTTGTGGACTCTGGAGTTTTCTTCTTGTTATTCGGAGTTACGGTGTTGAGATATCTTGGGCTTGCGCAGGTCGAATCACTTCATTTCTTCTTTTTTTGGAGTTGAGCGCATTCGTGTCAAACTTCTTCTTTTTTTGGATACCCGCCGAGACAATCAACCAACATCTACTACATTTTGGATATACCGACCGGAAAAGCAGCTGAGCTTGGCTCTCCTCAGGGATTTTTACTTCGATGGTTTTGTTTCTTTTTGGGCACCGAGAATTTTTGTCTTCTGTCAGAGACTTGGAACGCGGACGTCATTCATTATTCATTATACGCCGACCAATTTGCTTCTTTTGCGCCCTGTCATATGCATATTGGGAGGATATGCTTTGACACACACACACACTGTTTACGAACCATCGAAGAGAGCTTTATATTGCATTTTTATTTTTTTTGGGACATGCCATTCAGACAACCATACATACACATCATTGTACAGCACTCTCGTTTGCTTGTCTTTGTCGCTGAATTGGCTTTGCTCCCCGTGTCAACACTGGCACATTGATGGTAACCAGAGCCCCATGAGATTTATACTCTCTTGCTTCTGTTTGGACCTTTCTCTACTTTTTTATCGACGAGCAACTTTTAGCATCATTCTTCTTCTTCTTTGCTTTGCTCAGTCGACCACACAGAAGGGGGCTCACATGGGAAAGAGACAATACGCACAGATGAACATTCATTCTACTTCAATTCTACTTCAAGCATCATCGTCTGCGTTTGTCACTTTTCCAGTGTCTGGAAATGTCGAAATCATCTACACAGCTCGACACCAAAGACACGAAACTTCGGGGAAAATCGTTGCGATACATCGGAACGGCAGCGCAAGTTTTTGAACTACTTCATTCGCCTACTGTTCCACTCGCAATGGTGTCGAACGCCGTCGCCTATCAAGAGTCTTCTTACGACGAGCGTTTGACAAAATCACATTCAGTCAGCACCGCGATCGGGAAAGCAAAGCAGCAACTAGCCACAGCTACAGCACCGGCTATTTCTTCCACTACTCAAGCATTACAACTTCACTCTCGCTCTTTGCTTTCCTGTTCGCAACTGTGTCGCTGCCAATTCAACTTTACACTGCTCTATTCAGACAACATGGCAGCGACACATTGAGAGCAAAACTTCGGTCTATTCTGGTCTATCCTGGTCTATTTTGGTTTGGTCACAACCTCAGCCTTGTCAAACAAACAAAATTCTGGTTCAAGCACATCTACATTCGCGCCAGTGGTACTACTCAACTACCACTTTCATTCAAACCCACTGGCTCGAGCACGATACCACTTCAAAGAAAACTTTCATTCAAGCATGTTTGTATTCGCGCCAGTGGTACAAATCTACTACCACTTTTCACAAACCCACTAGCCCGAGCAGACTTCCAGTTCATACAAGCCCACTGGCTCAAATAGACTGCCACTCCAAACCAACCACTGCCTCAAGCCAAACAACCAGACCAAACCAGGAAAAGTCCAGGATACACCAGACCATATTGTGGCAAAACAGCCTTCCACAATCTACACAGCTGCGATATGGTTATCTTTTTGCTCTCGCAAGACGGTAATCTTGCATATGATATCGGCAGGGGAACACAATTCTTTTTCTTAGAAACAAATTGGCCGTTATCAGACTTCTACATTCATGGAAGCTTTTTCATCGCGAGATTCCCGTCTTTTGTCAAAGGCCAACTTAATTGTTGAGCCTCCACTTACCTACTCGCCTTTGACACATCATATTGGGGAAATTTCACACATTTGTCGAACAACACTTTCATCAAGCTTATCTACGCTTCGCTTCGACAATCAATATTGGGAACACACTCTACACATTTTATCTTGGGATTCAACATGATCGAAAGACATTCTATTCCTTGATATACCAACCGCTGGGGAACTTTAGGAGGATCACAAACAGCTTCAGCTACTTCAGGCTGGATCCTCCTTCAAACACAAAAACATCAACAGGGAACTTTTGGGGAGATCAGAAGCCGCAAGTCATCATCAACTTTCGCCTAATCTCCTCAAACATCGAGAACTATCGCACCATCGGTTGTCAGAACAAACTTATACTCTGGGACCTGACATCAAGCCACAAATTATCATGGCTACGCGATAGTTCTCAATTGTGTGTCGATCACTACTTACTCACGACGACACACAATCAACGGGGACTTGCCAGAAATGAGAGATACCAAAAAATACCATTACTTTCTCCTCATTTCGTGGCACAAACACATCAAAATCGGAAAACGCCAGAGAACGAGACGCAAAAAGCTCTTGTTCATGACAAACAAACATCGTCTTCTGCTCTCTCTCGGCACTCATCGGAGACTTCTTGCTAGCACAGGCACTGCGTAGCGATACGACCAAGAAATCTTCACATCACTGCGCACAATAACCATCTTACCACTTCATTCTCGAACCATTTGCCCAGCAGAAATCTCCGAGCTTCATGACACCAAACCATGAGCTCTCATCGGTCACTCGGGAGCCGATTCACGCTCAAACTGCTCATCGCCTTCCGAGACCACACGGTGGTGAACATCAACCTCATCCAACAACTGATCCTCCTAGGAGACGGCTTCAAACATGATCCAACTTCAAACCACAAAGTTCATGTCGTCTCCCATGGAGTTGAACAAGAGTCGAACTTATCACTCAAGCTCATGATGACGGTTCGATGCCCACCACCACCTCCAGCCAAAACAAATTTACAATGCTGGAACCCAATGTCTAGGCTGATCAAAACACAATATTCACGCCGTTACGACTTGGACAAACTCAGCCTTGGCTGCCCTCCGCAGGGACCGGCACCAAACGGGAGAATAAAAAACTAAATCTCTCGAATTGGTAACAAGCCAAGGCTGCCCTTCTTGGATGATTTGTCGACAAACAAATCATTTTCAAACCCACTTCTACGGAATGGAAGAAAACATAAAACCACAAACACAATATGGGGGCCAACAAACTGCCACGGCCCGCCCTCTGAATGGACTGGTCCCAAACGTGAGGACAAAGAATCTCACGAATTGGGAGCAGGTTTCGTTGGCGGCCCCCATTCACAATCGAGTCAAATCATCCAAGAAGAAGCATGGGGAAAAAAAACACAGAGTCTGGCTGCCCTCCATTGTGGATTGAAACATGTTCACTTTGGACTGGCCCCAAACGGGAGGCAAAAGAATCTCTTGAATTGGGAGCAGGCCATGACGAACCCATGGACAAACAAAGCAAACAAACAAACAAACATGACCAGCATTGAATCAAATTACAACAAGCTTGGTCATTATGAGAAGAGGAAGAGATACGAGGCTGGAAACAAAACAACGACCCATCTCAACCAACTCCTCTTCTCAGCTCCGAACACGGAAGACACAAACATGGTCTTCAATCGGACTCGGGTGCACGGAATTACTTTCTACCACTCCCATGCGCCTGAAAAGACATACTACAAACCACAAACATCACCAAAAAAAATCACAACCACAACCACAACAACAAACAACAATGGAAAAAAAGGGAGAGAAAAAAGAGAGAGAGAAAAAAGACACGCCGCACATAAAAGGTGCGGCAGAGGCAACGTCATAAAATGACAGCCAGAACAATGAACTTGGGGTGGAAAACACATTCATATGATGGTCTATCGGCGATCTATCGTCTACTAGTATCTACTTTTGACCTTCATCCATCCATTCGAACTACTGGTCCGCGGCGAGTCTCTCGCATCGGGAGTACCGCCATTCTTGCTGCCCACAGCCTTTGGATCAAAAACTCCGTTGCCCGGCATACTTGCGTCCTTCCATTCATCGTCATCAAGGACCTCCCAGTCAGGAGCGGGCGCGTCGCCAAGAAGCTTCTTCTTCAGCTTATCGGCAAGCTTCAACGGGCTAGGCAGCCGGAAGGACTTTGTCAGTTCGGTTCCTTCGTCGCCAGAAAGGCTGTAATAAGTCGTGCCATGCGCATAGCGGCCGATCCAGCTCTGATTCGAATCGGCATTCTGGCCTCCAACGTTAACATCTACTGCCGGGGCGCCCATCGAAAAATTGATGGCACCGGTCTGCATCTGATTATTCATCGACAAATTATGCAAGTTCCGGCCCATGTTGCAAATGTCCTCAAACGAAGTCTTGTCTCCCACAGACACGCCCTGCGAACAGCAGAGCCAAGCGACATCATAAGCAAGCAACGTGGTGCCTTCGAGGAACAACGAATAGGCAGCAGGGTCCTCTTTGGAGAGCTGCGGGAGAGGTTTATCCACGAACAGAGGGCGAGGTCGGGGGACGTGGGAATTGGCAAATGGGGACTCAGACAACGGAGTCGGGGCAAGGAGAGCGCCGGGGAATGAAACGTCGCCATGGCGATAGGAACTTGGGACGGTGAACATTGTTGGTCGCGGGTAATCGCGGTGAGGGAGGACGATCTCGGCAGGGAGGCGGATGGAAAGGTAGTGGGAAACTAGCATGAGGACATGGGCTATGTGAGCGAGAGAGGTTGAGATAGTCTCGGGCGAAAGAGCTGGGAAAAGTCAGCATATATCTCGGGCGGAGGTTTTTGGTTCCTGTCATTTCTCTCTTCTTCTGTTCTTGCCACCGTTTCTTTTCTCCTGTCTTTTCTCTCTCTCTTCCTTATCTCTCTCCTGTTTTCCTCTTTCTCTGTTGCTTCATGTTGCTTCTCTCTCTTCTTCTCTCTCTGTCCTGTATTATGCCCTGCAACACTTCTCCGGATCTTGTCTATCTTTCTTTGTCTTTTTTCTCTTCTTCTTCCATCTGCTCTTTTCTTCTGACTATATATGTCTCCCTTTTGTCTTTTCATACCTCTTTCCCTCGACTCTCTCTTTAGAGATGTAGAGGGATCAAAGAGATATATACCACATATTTTTGCCTTTTTCATACCTCTTTCCCTCGACTCTCTCTTTAGGGACGGAGGGGGATCAAAGAGATATTTCCATATGTCTTTGTCTTTTCGTACCTCTTTCCCTCGTCTCCCTCGTTAGGGATGAAGGGGGATCAAAGAAATACATTCCATACATACTGTGGTGGCCAAGAACAGAGAAGAAAGATGGATGACATGAAGAACCGGAGGATATTGGAAAGAAGGAAAAGAAGGAGATTTGGGGTTACTCACAGTTCATGCTGGTTAGGTCTACAATGGGAATCTTGCCGAGATGATATTCGTAGCGCCCCGTGCCGCTTTTCTTCGTGATCCTCTTAAGCCCGTAGAGCCGGACAGCTTCCGTACACAAAAAGCCACGAGTAGAGGCCATATCCTCAGCACTCTGCGACCATCGGAACTTGAGCATGCTAATCGACTTCTCTACCTCCCTGAGCTGCTTAGCTCTGCGCTCCACGATGCCGGCGGAGACGGAGGCCAGGTCGGATCTCCGTCGAGCAATGGCCGCCTTTCTAGCCTGGATCTCATCCCTGGCCGCCTTGATGTCGTCGCGAAGCCTATCCGCGGCGGCGAGGATCTGATCAGTCTTTTGCTCAGCCGCATCTCTGTGCGCAATGATTTCGTCCCAGGTATGCTTGTTTGGCTTGGATGTATCGTCCAGGAGCTCGTCGATCTGCGCCTTGAGCGACTCATTATCGAGCATCAGCTGCAGGTGCTTCATGCGGCCCTCGTAGATCCTGTTGCGGGCATCCACGGCGCAGAGGAACGGCCGGCGCTGGGCGTCATGCGGGTGGTGGCAGATGTCACACTCCATATCGCAGTACCTGATGGCTGCAGCTGCCGAGACTGAGATGGCGAGTTGAGTGATGGCTGGGATTATATATGGCGGGATGGTGCAGGCAGCTGTGGACTATATGTAGATAATGGCCGATGACGGAAGAAGAGCGTAGAAAAGGCCGAGTCGAGAGATTTATACTTTGGTCCAGTCTGCATATACTTTGGGTGAACACGTGTGAATATCGGGCCGTTGGACGCGAGTGAAGCCTCTTTGAAGCATGCGACTTTGACTTGATGCTTGAGCCTTTGAATAGAGCAGAGGTTGAGGTTTAAAGGGCATGAGATCACGGGGTGCGATAACGACATGGCCGGCAGCTGAGCTGTCCAGACGCCACTGCCGGGCCTGGCCACCCCCCAGAGCCCAGGGCGGAGGCTGCTGTGCTGCGCGGCTCCAGTTGGCCACGAGCGCTAGGCAGCGGCCTGTAGGGCTCCACTGTGGCCAGCGGCAGCAAAGGCGCTGCGTCTGGAAATCCGGCGAGGTTGTCGTCGATCTCCCTCTCAAATCGCAGTGAGCTCCACGTTCAACAGCGACAGTGACGCTATCGCCCATCACGGCAGCTAGCGCGGCCCATTCACCGGACGATGCTTGTTCTTGTTCATCGTCCATCCTTCCTTGTCTTTACTGCCGGCTTTGTTAGACTTTCACTTTTACAGCCACACTCGCGCTACATTCGTTGCACTACGGCAGCCTCGAAAGAGCACTGCAGAGAGCCGTGCTAGTCGATCGACGCTCCGCAGCGATTCATTCTCCCTTCCAGCACAGCAGCCAATACCGAGGCGCACTCTTATCCCTTTCTCTGGCCCCTTCTTGTCCACGCCAAACAGCTGCCACAGTTCACGCCAAGGGTCATCATCTCAGATCCACTGCAGCCCAAGCATCATCAGCTCCATCATGGCCTCACCAAAATCGCCCAATGGCGCGGGCCGCCTCCCCGACTACGGGACGAAAGAGGACCTCAACGCCAAGGATGAGACAGCCGTATTAGATTTCGAGAGGCCACGCTTTTCACACGCAAAGACACCCGATCTATCGGCCGAGTCGCAGAACGGCAGGCTGACACCAAACCCTCCCGCCGTTCTGGGTCCCTTCGATTGGGACGACTTTGAGGCACGGTATGAAAAGGCTTTGATGGACGCGGATGAACAAGAGCGAGAAATCCTCAAAGAAGCTGAAGGCCTTGCCAAGGTTAGATACGCTGCCTCTTGTTTGTGTCATCCATCTACATGTTATGCTAAAACAAACCAACTCTTTGTGCAGTATTTCCAGATATGGTCTTCAGCTGCATCAGCTCATGACGACGAGCGAGCCGTGAAGCGTTTGCAGACGCGACAACGCTTTGTGAATATTTCTGAGGAAAAGATGGCTCAAAAGCAGCAGCATTGTAAGCACCCACGCACAGTTATTGACTTGATATGTGATTCTAGAACTAATAATTGGCCAGACGAGGAAGTCGTGCGTGCGTTTGAGAGTGCATTGGCGCTGCTTCGGTCTACATAGATTGAGCTGGCTGGAACGCCCTTTGCGTCACATCAGGCTGATGAGAAAATATCCTCCAATGCTCTAACCTGTTCCTCTGTCCCCTCCCTCAGTTTTGGTATATATGCACAGCGCAAATGTCGGTTGAGTGCAGCAATATTCGCTGCCTCTTCGCTATCGCGTCAGGCAGCAAACTGGGGCACGTGACCAAGAGGTGTCTTCACGGTCGCGCTCAGTCCCGCCATTCTACGCAGCGTCGGCCTAATCTTTTCTCAGCCAGGATGCCAACCAACGAGCTCTCATTCAAAATTCCACAGATATCCAGTGACGAACTATTGGAATTCCAACAATGTCACTTTTCAAACGAAGCTGCCGCTGATTTTGAGCAAAGCTTCACAAGTCTTCCACCACAACAAGTATCTGAGGATCAGTTCTACGAGGAATGGGGGGAGGAGGATGAAGAGGATGACGGTCTCGGCTACTATGAAGACGGCGTAAAACGAACTCTCACAGATGAGCAGATCGCAATATTTAGGCACTCGGAGCTGAGGGAACTCGAACGGCAGCGAGAAAAGCAAGCTCAGGCCAGATCAGGCACGCTACGAGATGCGTCTGCAAATGAAACACATACCGCATCTCCCCATGACCCGAGTGCGTCCACGAATTCTCGAAGCAAGAAGAAGAAGAAGAAGAAATCCAAGGCGGTAAAGCAAGAGCCTAAGCCAGATCTACGGAAGCGAACCTGGGACGTTGTTGAAGCTGGGCTCGACTCCCTCGACTATGATTAAAGCAGAACTCATGATATATGATGGCGAGCAGATGGCGTAGGTGCCATCTTGACATGTGCGGCCAAATTTGCAAGTTTTCGCTGCCCGCACATGATAATTGGAACTCAGCGGTAAGTATCATCTGTCTTTTCCTTTTCTTTTCTTTGTCATTCCAGAAATACTTGAAACGCATATGATGAAAACCTTTGTATCGTCATCCTTAGTCAGATCGCACATGCAAGCTCGACGAACCAACGACCAAAACTGGGGAGGGTTGGCAAAAGCGGCGTGACGAGACATATAATCTTCTCTCTGAGGCTACACATTTTTTCTTCCCCTGCTCAGCTGTTGAGACTGTTGATTTTGAACTTTAGAATTCAGGCTAACATGGAGACCAGAGCATAGGTAGCAAATGCGGCTGACAAGATATGACGAAGTGGCTGGCCGGTGGGAACAGAACGCAATGAGATACTAATGTTCGTGTCTCATCCAAAGAAGATTACAAATTTAAAAAAAAAAAAAAAAATTGACAATTGCACAAGAGATGGCCTCACTTGATAAATTGCATATGCCCCCTGGTGGAGTAGAAACGTTCCAACGAAGCATTGAGCTGTAGTTACTACACAGTCATTCAGTATAGCTATAGGTATCAACTATAGATCCAGTAACAGCTACGGCCAAAGCCACAGCTCTTCAGCTTCAGCCTCAGTGACTGAAATGATGCATGCATACTCCGTACACCCAACAGCAACTCAATCTACAGCATGCCCAAGCCTTAAACGCCCGATTCACATGTATCCGTGCTACCCAAGGCCGCCGGGCATCCTGACTCAGCTCAAATCTCTGTCCGCTGGCACCGAAATCAGCTAAGCGATAAGCGCTGCAGCCAATAGCAGACTCTTATTGGCGCTAATATGGGGCTCTTCTGGCGGCACATCCCATCCCACCTTTGGATTCTCATCTGCGTCGCCAGAAGAGCGATCCTCGCCTGAATCACCCTCCCGCGCGGCCATCGTCCAGCGCAACAACATACTTTTCTTCATCCTCATTGCGTCGCGTGCCTGCGACTCCTTCAGCCAAGATGGCGCGCGTCTACGCCGACGTCAACCAGAACATGCCCCGCAGCTATTGGGACTATGACAGCGTCAACATCAGTGCGGAGATCCCCCGTCCCCATGGCCACGCGAGCTGGGTTGCAAGAGACCGGCGCTAACATGCTGAGCAGGCTGGGGTGTTCTCGAGAACTACGAAGTCGTCCGCAAGATCGGTATGTGGCTTCCCTGAATCCGTCCGCCCGGGGCCGCGTCGCGTGGCCGTGCCCTACGCGTAGCTAACTGGAAGATGCACAGGGCGAGGAAAGTACTCGGAGGTTTTCGAAGGCATCAACGTCGTCAACTACCAGAAGTGCGTCGTCAAGGTTCTCAAGCCGGTCAAGAAGAAGAAGATCAAGCGAGAGATCAAGATCCTGCAGAACTTGGCTGGCGGGCCCAACGTTGTTGCACTGCTTGACGTCGTGCGAGACTCACAGGTGAGCAGATGACGGGCATGATTGGCAAGGCTGTGGATGTGGCGGCGAGCTGACAGAAGGGGGTAAACTCCCCTGGCGGAATTACAGAGTAAGACTCCGTCTTTAATTTTCGAGTATGTCAACAATACCGACTTCCGAAGCCTCTATCCCAAGTTCAACGACCTTGACGTGCGATTCTACATTCTCGAGCTGTTAAAGGCTCTCGACTTTTGCCACAGCAAGGGAATTATGCACAGAGACGTAAAGCCTCATAACGTTATGATCGATCATGAGAACAGAAAGGTACATTCCCTCCAAACAGAAAGCATGAGGCATGCCATGTTTGCTCCGGTGTACTAATTTGCGGGGTACAGCTGCGTCTTATCGACTGGGGTCTGGCTGAGTTCTACCATCCTGGAACGGAATACAACGTCCGTGTGGCCTCTCGTTATTTCAAGGGCCCCGAACTGTTGGTTGATTTCCAGGAGTACGATTATAGTCTCGATATGTGGAGTCTCGGCGCCATGTTTGCGTCCATGATTTTCCGCAAGGAGCCTTTCTTCCATGGTAACAGCAACTCGGACCAGCTGGTTAAGATCGCCAAGGTCCTTGGCACCGACGATTTGTTTGACTATCTTGACAAGTACGAGATTGAGTTGGATGCTCAGTATGATGATATTTTGGGACGATTCCAGAAGAAACCTTGGCACAGCTTCGTTACATCGGAAAATCAGCGTTTTGTCTCTAACGAAGCCATTGATTTCCTCGATAAACTGCTGCGTTACGACCACCAGGTTCGTTTTTCATCCCTTGCTCTTTTTTTTTACCCACTCTTCTGACCAGATGAAACCAACATAGGAGCGTCTGACCGCAAAGGAAGCTCAAGCCCACGCCTATTTCAACCCTGTTCGAGACCCAGAGGTTTTCAAGCAAAACTTGATCGGCGCTAATGGAGGACCGTACAAGTCCTGAAATGGCTACGGTGCTTTATTCTCTCCATGATCTTTGAAATATCGCAATCTTTCTGGCCTCCTTTTTCCCGTCACCGGTGCTTGAACCATGACCTTTTCAAAAGATGAAACTCCAACTCTTTCGGCTGGACTGGGCTGCCTAATAAACTTCAATGGGATGAATCAATGGAAATAAACGAAGAAAAAAAAACGAGGGGCAAACACTTTTTTTTTATGATGAACGGTAACGTTTCTGCGGCTGTCGAAGCGTGCAGGAATTATGATAGGAAACAACAATATTTTCGGTGGCTGGATATGAGAAAGACAGCAAGCGGTTAGGAAAACACTACAGCGAACAGAATTTCTCTATTCCCTAACTCTCCCCTTTCCATTCCCCTTTCCCTCTCTCCAACATATTTTTCACCAGTTTGTGAAAACAAGAAAACAAACCTAGAGCAAGCGAACTTTGCACTCAATCGGTCACAAGTTCAGCAAGCTCGGAGCAGCAAAGTCGGTCTACGGCGTTTCAGGAAATTTGGGCATTTGCAAAGCTCGGGTACGAGGCAGAGAAGGGGATGGAGGGAGGGAAGGGCTTTTCACCCATAGTTTCTCGCTTCCCCTTTTCGACGTTTTGGAACAATTTATTTGATTTGCGGTTAGCTAATATGTAGGTAGCGTGTAATACATCGTCATTCCACACTACCCTTTTATCCTCCCTATTCTCCCAGTGAAAAAAAACCCCAAGATCTCCAGATATGTTACTCCATCTGCCCAGTCCACTAGCTATGCCTTTAAACACCACCAATCAATTCTGCTTTTCTCTCTTTTAAAAACGCCTGTTCTCTCTCCTTGGAAACGATAAAGGCTAGTCACGATCTTTATAAACACGTAAAGCAAAAATCTCGTCCACATCTATATCCATCCACTCCACATGCTCTCAAAGAGCCACCAGGCGTCTTGATAATGCTCCCAGGGCTAATAGGCTCGGTGGGTCGCTTCTTAACTGGCGTATGATACACCTCTCTGGTGCGAGAGCTGGATTTCCATAATTTCCGCTCGGTTGTCCGTGCTGCAGAGCTAAGCAACCTAGGCATAGCAGCTAGGCTGCGGCCCAGCTCGTCAACCTCCTCATCTTCGTCATCAGATAGCAGAGACAAAATGGAGTGTCGAGAAGAAGGAACCTTCAAAGAATGGCGATTCGAGTGACGAGGTGTTTGGGGAGGGTTGCTCAAGGATGGTAAAGATGTGACGGGGCCAGATATCTTGGCTTCGCCAGCAGAGGAGGGCCCTGAGTGAGTAGACGAGATACATTTTGAGAGGCTCTTGGTTGGAGAACTTGGAGGCAGCATCGAGAAGTGTTTCGAAGGAGATTGTATGATAGCTCGAGCCACCACTTCAGGGGGGGGTGTGTCACGTCTAGGGGAGGGAAGGGCTGGTTCCATAGGTATAGAGGCTCTAGTGATTGGAGAAGATTCGACCGGGGAAATTTCATCTGACGTCTCGTAGGAACTGTCCTCAATAACTATGGGGGTTGTTGCAAGCTTCGTCAGTTGGCGTCTCTGACTGGAGGCTGTAGCTTCCGGGGTATCCTCGTCCATACGAGCACACGGACTTGAAGAGCGAATGTCTGCAGATCGCCGATACCTAGACCTCCGTGCCGAGGTGTATGAAGTCTGAGGCTTGTCATCAAGAGACACGTCAAGAGTAATGCGAGAGAGGAAACGAGTAGGAGAAGAAGACAATGGCGCCACGCCACTTGAGTCTTCGGACGGGATATTGAGGCGTCGGCTCGAACTCGTACCACTCGGGGACGTATCATCAATGACGTCTCTTGTATCCGTGTTCTCTCTGTGAGAATAATCCGCCTTTTTTGTTTTGCGACTTGCAGGCAGGTCGACTCTTGCAGTTGTTTGAGTCTTGATATTGTGGATTTCGCGTAGTGGGAGCGTATCTTTGAGTGTATTGTTGGAAGCCGTTTTTCTTAATTTTGACAGCAACGTGGGAGCTTCGTCGTCCGAAAGAAGGCACGCGGAATCTGCATTCTTGCGGGGAAATACTTCTGGTATTGACGCACAAGATTCTTCATGAATATCTGGCTGGCGGGTTTCCTTTGCACGTAGTGTCGGCAAATCACCACGGAAGTTTGTCTGGCTTTTTGCTTCTTCTTTTTCTTTTTCTCCTTTTTCTCCTATCTCTTCACTTTCTTCTTCTTCGTCTTCTTCAAACCCTTCTTCATCTTCAGCAGCAGAGTCTGGGATATAATCTTCCTCCGGCGCAGCCAAGACAGGCCGCTTCTCAAGGGCATCCTCATCTACCATAAATTGACCGTCATTCCTGTTCCGGGAATATGCCACCTCCTTTTCAGCCCTCTGCTCCGCCAAGACATCGGCCCAAGAAATTTTGTTGAGGAATTCCACTTGCTTCCTCATGCGTCCAGAACGCCTTCGGCCATCAGCCTCATCGAGCTGTTTAGCCGTGGACAGTTGTTGGCGGGTCTGGTTGGACCTTTGTGACGGTATCTCATCATCTAGATGAGGAGCTCTCCTTGGAATTTCAGCGACTCGAACCAGAGCGTCATTCCTCGTTAAGTCTTCATCAGGCCTTTGCTTTCTCTTTCTAGCTTTTCGAGTACTTTGTGTAGACTTATAGCCGCTATCACTCGAACCCCCTTCCACTCCTTTCTCTTTGAGTTCTTTGCTTGTCTCTGAAGACGGGAGACTGACGTTCAAACGCTTGCCTCTCTTGGCAAGATTCATTTCGATTTTACCAAAGCCTTCAATCTCCTTAGACCTTTTCCCTGTCAGAATCACATCTTCATCTTCGTCCTCGTCCTCTTCTTCTCTCTTGTCATCATCTTCCACAGCCTTTGCGGGTGATAACAACAGCGGATGTCGAAGGACTTTCTTCGTCTTGGTGAGTAGATGTTTGCCAAATGTAGCCGCAAACACGGACTGAAGCGGCTTATCCTCTTCATCTCGAAACTTAGACCGAGGTGCCCAAATCGAGCTTTGGCCGCTTTGCGCAGGAAAATCATATCGGCTTGCTTTCATCGGGAACTGCTGGGGTTTGGGCTGGTGGACTGCAAATAAATCGGGTTTATTCCATAAAGGATCAGAATACTGGCCAGAAAGGCTCCATGGCTCCATAGCAAATGGCGAGCGATCGAAAGAGAGTGGCGAAGAGGAAAATGGCAACTGCCCGATGGGCTCTAAATCCAAGATATTGCCTGGTGGAATCTTGTGCGGCAAGGCGCGCAAAGCAGTTCTGGAAGCGCGCGATGCATTTCCTGACGATGATCCCAACACCAAGGCTGTCGAATGCGATTCGCGAGGCGCTTCGCGGCCCTGTATTATGCGATCCTCATCTTCTTCATCCTCATCTAAGCCATTGTTGTTTTGAATCTGCTTTCCAAAGACTGCCGCATGTCCTTCTTGCTCTGCTGTATCGTTGTCTCCGGATTCTTCCTCATCATCAAACAGATCCTCCAGAAGAATTCCTTCATCTTCATCATCCTCTTCTTCGCCCAGATATTCTCCCACGCCGTCTCCAACGTCGCCTTCGTCTCGCATATTGCGAACATGCCCATTATTAACGACAATCTCGCCCGTCACAAGATCGATCTCGTCTCCAATGCCTTCGAAGTCACGGCCATATTTGTCGAAGATATGTGCCATGGTGGCCTGGAACCGCTGGTCTGCATAGGCTCGTTCGATAGATAGTTTATACCCCGGGTCCCGTTTGGCTTCAACCTCGAATGGCTGTAAGGCGAGCTCATCGTCGTCTTCGTCGACGTATCCCTTGTCCAGCAGCAGCTGGCTCATGCGACGCCTTTTTGCCGGTGGTTCCATGGCCAGCGCGAACAAAGCTAAACCGCTATTGTCGCTATAATCTACAAGGAAAGATCAGTGTTTCCAATTGATATAGAAATAATGCTGAAAACGAGTCGACATTGTGTGCTGCCAATGGCCAATCTCCCGATGGCCTATGTGGACATTGAAAATGCGAGACCTGCAAGCTTGGATAAAGATGGTTGGGGGAGCAACGAGATGGGCCGAGCATGGGGCTTAGACTCCGCGTCGCGATTTCGCTGCTGCACGGAGCATTCGCAAGCGCGCGTTAAGTGGTTGCGCCTGCTAACAGTAAGCGGCCGTGAGCTCCCATCTGCACTGCCAGTTGGCCTAAAATAGTGCCGTGAGTCCCCTAACAATCCACAGGCACAGGGCAGATCATACTTCAGCTATAGCGGGGTTGCAGCGCCTCGATGCCGTCACAGTACCTCTCTCATGTGCTTAATTCAGGATTCTTGGTGCATGTGTACGCAAGCGCAGAGTTTAACCTCAACCCTTAAAGTTCGACTTCCATGCTTACTCCTCTATTTGTATTTCTCCCACTTTGCAACCAGTCTCTCTCCTAGGGCATGACAAGGCATTTCTGCTATAAATACAACGAAGTCTTTCAGCCGGCGTACTGTCAAACGCGTCGAGATGTACTGCCAGAAGTGCCGCCAGCCGCTGAGGCTGGACAGCTCTCTCGACGACCTCAACCCAGCTGCTTATGACCTTTTGGTTTGTAAGTCTTTGGTTTGCCGTCGCAGAAAATACACGCCGTTACTTACCAATCTGTGACACAACAGCAGCATCGTCCTCGCCAGCTACGAAAGCCTCCGCCCCACGACCGTCGATTCTTCAGGCCCAAGAGCAATCACGAAGGTCACTCTACGACAAGGTATCGCAGAACGCCGGGCCTCCAACCTTCAAGAGATACCGAGGCAGCCAGCCTCGCGATTCTACAATGTCGTTCATATATCTTACCGAGTCACAAGTTGGGCATCCGCTGTCTCCTCAGCAACAGCAAAAAGAACGAGCTGTAGTCCCCCGATCCAGTACGAACGGAGCCCCCGAAGACGAGCCTCAGTCAAATAAGAGAGACGATCTAGACAAGATTAATCGACTATTTGAGATATTATCCGCCAGATCCGATATCGATCACCCTGTATGTGTGGACTGTACCGAGTTGCTAGTCGAAGGGCTGCAGAAGAAGCTCGATTCAGCATCAAAAGAAAGGGACGCCTATGTGCAATATCTGAAAGATACTCAAAATAACCAACCGAGTGAGGAGGATGTCAAATCTTGGAAGGAGGCCCTGAAGAAGGCAGAGAAAGACAAGGCCGCCGCTATGACAGAGTTGAAAAGGCTGGAGGCCGAGAAAGATGCTCTGGACGATGAGATATGGGCACTGGAGGAGGAGTCACAACGATTAAATAAGGAGGAAGAGAAATTCTGGAGGGAAAGAAACGCCTTTGCTACCAAGATGGCAGAATTCCAGGCCGAGCGAGACAGCATTAATGCCAAGTATAACAACGACTCGCAGCTGCTTGAGAAGCTACAACGATCCAATGTCTACAACGATACGTTTTGCATCAGCCATGACGGAAGCTTCGCTACTATCAACGGCCTGCGCCTTGGCAGGCTCTCAAACAAGCCTGTGGACTGGCCAGAAGTCAACGCTGCTTGGGGTCATGCTCTGCTCCTACTGGTGACAGTTGCGGACAAGCTTGGATACAAATTCCAGGGCTACGATCCGTTACCTTTGGGTAGCACCTCCAAAATCGTACGATATGAACTGCCCAATCCGGCATCCAGCAGGCTAGGCGTACGGTCGATGAATGGGCCCCCTAAGAAACAGGTCCTAGAACTATACAGCTCTGGCGACATGCCACTTGGGCTAACATTTATGCACCGCAAATTCGACACTGCCATGGTCGGGTTCCTCGAGCTAGTTCGCCAGCTTGGTGTCTTCGTTCAACAAGAGACAGAATCAACGGGTACACCGTTGACACTGCCTTATAAAATTGAAGGGGACAAGATAGGAGATACCAGCATCAAGCTTGGTATTGCGCAGGATGATGGATGGACCAAAGCATGCAAGCTCACACTTACTTGCTGTAAGTTTCTGCTGGCCCATGCAAGCAATGTGACCTCAAATGCGCGAAATGCAACTCAGTGAGACGCGATACTTTGCGTTTCATGGAACACCAGCACATCATGATGCAGTCAGCAATCAATAGCAATTACTACAAGCTATGACGATCATTGCCTTGTAAGTTGACTTGAGATTATTCCCGGTAAGTTGTCTTGGCTCTTCACTTCTTCCTTTCGTTGGCGTCGTTTTCAGCAACTGCTCAATTAGCGCACTAACTAGTCTTGGGCACTCAGCTCATCAAAAGTGGCGGTGCACCGAAAAGAGCAAACTCGTATCACATAATACATCACGATATCGAGATATCGAAAGCGAAGGATCAATTTGGATTAGTACTTGGTTACATGAAGCATCGGGCAAAATAGACACCGTCTTACTGTACAGCGTCACGCGAGATAACAAAACCTCATAGTCACGGGTCCAATTAAACTACCTTCCACCGCAAAAGCTTGTCATACAGCTAATCACAGTCGTCTATCGCCCGTGACTATCGTGATCAAGAGAGACCACCAGTAGGATGGGACAGCCCAATACACTTGTGAGACAGCAGTTCAGCCCCAGGCGGGCAGCCGCATGAGAGTGACAGCACAGCAATTCTTCGGGCCAGCAAAGGATGCAGCCCTCAGCCTCTGTTGGGCTGCCCCTCTTTAAGCCGGCAAACAGACCACAGGAGCTGCAGTGAGCCGGCTGTTACCATGCATAAACCTAGTCCAGATTCCGTTGCGCGCATCTTGCTTGAGCCTCCTGTTGGCTGATCGCCAGGCAGATAAGCTCACTAGGATGGCTAGGCTGAAATCAGGATGCTGCTGCCTTCGAGTAACAGTCAAATCACATACACAGTCCTACGCCCGGCTTGCGCTCCGTGGAGGATGGGAAGCTTATAATGTCCTCCATCCGCTGTTCACAGGTTGAGGCTCGTCTTTGATCTGGCATACACTTGATACACTTTAAATCCTCTATTTGCTGCCTTTTTTTTTTCTCCTTCGTTACCTTCATTCTGGTCTGGTTGAAGCTACACTTCACGCCGGCATCATGGCTAGACGTCATGTTCCGGTCGTTCGAGACTACAACATCTCTCGCGAGGACAGCCTGAGTAGCGACGGCTTTGAGGAGTTGGGACCTCGCAGCATGCTACCCAACTCGCGACATGTCAGATACGTCGTCGATGGCGAGGTTCCTGATGTTTTGTATACTCTCAATCATGTTGGTGTCAATCGGCGTTTCCTTGGGCGTATGTCGAAATCTCCCTTCCTCTGCTTTAAATAAAAGATTCATTATTGTCTAACTTCATCCTGCAGGCTTGCGAAGCTCTAAGCCGTTCCAGAACGTGACCACCTACGAAATCAGACAACATGAGACTGACGAGGACGGCGAGCTTGTCAAGAAGCCTATTTTCGAGATTGTCACCACCGTGTGCATTGAGGGCAGACCTGATGATCACAGACGCATGGTTCATCCTCGTCGAGCAGCCCCTCAGATAGATCGGCCCCTGACGGCTGCCTTTGAAAATGTCGATTACCGAAGTGACGGCTATTATACCGATGAAGAGCAGTATGTTGATCCGGCTGGATCTCCTGTAGCTGATGCTCCTCTCATGGTTATCTACTCGGAGCATCTCATCAATGCGCTTAGAGCTGTCGTTAGATACTACCCGACCGTCTCTCTCAACGGGAAAACAGTTAGTATCAGCGCACCCTACCGCATGCTGTATCACCACCGCCACGAGCTTCTTGAGTATCGCGATAACCAGCCCGAGGCGCATAGTGTCGAGTATGCTGGTACCACAGTCAAGCATATCGACACTCTTCTCAAGTTCCTTGATGAAAGTCTTGGAGATGAGATTACCAAGGAAGAGGAGCTCCACAAGCTCGAGAGTCCTATGGCCACTTTCCAATACTTTTGGCTACTCTTGAAGCCAGGAAACGTCATCTACACCAAAAAATATGACATCTGGACACCTTTGGTCATTAGCAGTGTCAGTGGTGGCAATCGTCACCTTAATAGTCCTGACAGCTACCGGATTAACTGTTGGCTGCTGGAGTCCAACGGCACCAAAGTTGGCCGCTTTATGGAGAGCTATGTTGTCAACCCATGGCCAGGTGAACAGGATATTAGCACTTTGTCAGTGGTTCCCGCAGCCTTTTGGAAAGAAGATCTTGCTGCTCAAGGTGGCGTCGAGATGCGTCAAAAACTCATCGCAGAAGGCAAGCTGTACTGGGAGCTCCTCAAGCGTCCTACATATATGGAATATGAAGGCTTGCTTGTCAACTCTGGTTCCGGCAATAGACTGCCCGGTGGCCCAACTGGCTTCATGAATGGTCGTGTCATCTGTGATGCCTCTGGCTTCGACAAGTTCTTTGATACCGCGCCGGACTGGGAAGGAAGACGATATCCTCATCCCACCCGCCGCCGTGTAACTCAGAGTATACCCAACAAAGACCATCTTCCTCAGTATTTGCCACGATGTGGCTGCGCTGTCTGCACTGAAGATCGACCTCAGGAGCATAATGGTCCGTACAATGGATTCGAAGACCTTGATCCTCTCTGCGATACCCCGCCAGACAGCGATATCTTCTTCCATGTTCTCAGCAAGACAATCCCTGGATTCATCCTTGGCACTCGTCGTTGGGGAAATCTCCACGTTGCCAATCTCAGCCCCGTCAAAGCCGACAAGGAGGCTTTCAAGTATCTCGTCTTGGATGATGATATCAAGATGACTGTCAAGGCCCTCATTGGTCAGTATTCCACTGGCGTCGACGGCCAAATCACCCCTTGGGGCAATGATTTCGTCCGCAACAAGGGCGAAGGACGCATCTTCCTCCTCCACGGCGCGCCTGGCGTTGGCAAGACTTGCACCGCTGAGTGTATTGCCGAACTGACCAACCGGCCTCTCATCAGTCTCACAAGCGGTGACCTGAGCGTCGATGCGTTCCGTGTCGAGAACAACCTCAGCTACTTTCTCGAGCTGGGCCAGCGTTATGGAGCTCTTGTCCTGCTTGATGAAGCCGATGTCTATCTCGAGCGCCGGCGCGCAAAGAATATTTCTCGCAACGGCCTCGTCTCCGTCTTCCTCCGCGCCCTGGAGTACTACCGCGGCGTGCTCTTCCTCACCACCAACCGTGTCCGGTCTTTCGACACTGCTTTCCTCAGCCGCATCCACGTCGCTCTACACTACAAGAACCTCAGCGACGAAGACCGCGAGCGCATCTGGACTCACAACTTTGACCGCCTGAACCGTGACTCCCACGGCAGGATCCGCGTCGCCACCGCAGCCCGCCAGTTTATCTGGTCGAGCCACGAGGTCCGCGCGCTCAAGTGGAATGGACGAGAGATTCGCAACGCCATGCAGACGGCGCTGGCTTTGGCCGAGAGTGATTCCAACGAGGAAGGTCTGCCGACTATTACTATTGGGGAGAAGCACGTTCGTGCCGTTGTCAAGATGAGCAAGGGTTTCAAAGACTATATCAAGTCTGAGATGCCCCTGGGCTCTGATGATGCTGACTACGATGGTGATGGTGATGATGATGTTGTTCATGGAGAGGATTTCTAAGTGGACTGGTATGCGAAGAGAGAAGCCAGACGACAAGCTTGAGATTTTTGACTGTTTTCTTTTTCATAAAGCAGAAAAGGGGAGAAGAAAAGCACAAAAAAAAAGCAAAAGAAAAAAAAAACATTTATTCAAAATAGCTTGATTTATGGCATTAGGGAAAGATAGGTTATCCCGACGTATGATTCGGTTGCTTAACGATTGTTTTCACAATACCTTAATGGTATCTACAGATTGTACTCCAGATAGTAACAATGACGAGACACGAAATTATGACCATTCAAATGTCGTTTTGTCCACTATGACTGTATCATAAGTAACGAACAATCTATCGTAAAAGCAAATAATTCGAAAGAAGCGAAGCAATGAACAAAAAAAGAAGCCTTTGAGTTTCATCCCCATTTTAAACCCCCTCCCTTTTTTTCACTTGTCCAAATAAATCCCCCACGTCGTATAGATTTTCCACATGTTTTGTTTTATTTTCCCAAAATCGTTTCCTTCAGCTTATCCAGCTCACCGCTGTGCTCACACATGTCCCTAAATACGCCTCCCTCCTTGTCCCACAGCTCCTTGGGCGTTCCGAATTCCGCCACAGCTCCCTCGCTGAGGACGAGAATGCGGTCGAAATCGGCAATCGTGCTAAGACGATGCGCAATAACAATGAGCGTGCTGTCGGTGAATTCCTCGCGGATGCTGCGTTGGATGAGCGTATCGGTAGCCATGTCCACGGCCGAGGTAGCTTCGTCAAGCACCATGATTTTGGGTCGGGCGACGATAGCTCGGGCCATGCAGAGGAGCTGGCGCTGGCCTTGAGAGAGGTTACCGCCCGATTCGGCGATGCCGCTGGTGAGATCCCGGAAGATATTGGCGTTGGTTGGAGTGGTAGTTGAAGGAGCGGCAGAAGCGGCGACAGATGAAGGCTCATTGGCAGGCGTGGCTGGTTGAGAGTCGACCAAATGAACACGATGAAGCGACTCGCGGAGCTCGTCGTCGGTACGCTCGTTGAAAGGATCAAGATTGCTCCTGACAGTGCCAGAAAACAGTACAGGGTCCTGAGGTATTTTATCATTAGTAAGAGACATCTCAATAATGAACAACTGAAAAAAAAAAAACTTACCTGAGGAATGATGGCCAATCGTGAACGCAGGCTATGAAGGTCAATCTTGGAAATATCTACACCATCAATCAAGACGGTGCCTGATCGGGCCTCGAGGAAGCGGAAGAGGGCCAGAGTAAGCGAGGACTTTCCAGCTCCGGTACGTCCAATTACACCCACTCGCTCATTGTTTTTGACATTGAAGGAAACGCCCCTCAGGACTGGCGGCAGATCCTCAGCGTAACCAACAACAAGATCTTTAACCTCAATATCTCCTGACGTAGGCCAGGCAGCAGGAGCCTTCTCTCCATCCAACGGCTCGGTCTTAAGATCGGCGTACTCGATGACACGCTCAGTGGCATTCATATCTAGCTCCAAACTGGTATAGCTCCAAAGAGTCATGAGAATGTTGCCGGAAAAGTCAACGGCGAACGCCAAAGTGAAGCCAGCCATAGAAGCGTCAATGTATGGGGACAAGGCAACGACAATGCCAACGATGGAACTGAAGGCAGTACCAATCAAGGCCATGCGGAAGCTCATCCATCGATTGAACAGAGAGCCATAAATGCTCACAGAGTCCCATTGATCAAGATGAGCGTACATACGATCGACGTACACTTGGGTCTTCTGGTATGCTCGAAGCGTAGCCACACCCGACAACGTCGCGTTGAACTGCTCAAAGACCGGTGACTTTGAGGTGCTTTCCAATCTCTTCATGGGCCTAGCACCAGTCATATACATCTTGCCAACTATGGCAGCGAAGATGACCAACACGAATGCCAAAGGAAGGATATAAGGCGACACGAGCGTAGCGGCAACACAGACACCCACGAGGCCTAGAGAACGCCAGAGTAACATGCCAAAATCCATGTTGATGCGATTGTCGATAATGTCAAAATCAGAGGTGAGTCGGTTAAGAATTCGACCAACAGGGACTGTGTCAAGCCATCGTAGGGGAGTTCGGAGGACTGTGAAGAGAATTTGCTTGAACAGGGTCCTACTGGCCTTGATGCTCATATAAAACGACCAGATAAAGCGCAGTGTCCCGACAAATCCACTAGCCGCAGATAGAGCCACATAGATTGATAGGTAATAGTACAAATTATGCTCTGTGGATTCGGCGTTCGACAAGTTCGAGGCAACATGGAACGGGCCGTGCTGTAGAGTGAGCCCATAAGCAAGACCGTGCTTCTGCTCCGCTTCAAAGGCATGGATTCCATCAACTTGGTTCTCGCTTTGAGATGTCCATATCTTTACCCACCAATTTCGAGCAAGATTACCTGCCTCAAAGCTGGAGAATAAAACAGCGAGAATAATCCAAAATAGCCAGCCACCGCTATGGGTCAGATAGCTCCTATAGATTCGGCTCTTAACTTGCCCCTTGTCGCGAGCCTCCTTTTCGACGAAGTCTTTGGCTGCCTTGTCTTTAGCTGCCTGCTCAGCCGTAGCGTTTTCACTTGATGCTCCATCGGCACCGGTGACTGAGCCTTCCTCAGAGTTGACGACTGTCGAACCTTCAGCAGCCGCTTCTTCGCGCTGAATCTCCTCTGGGTCTTGCTCGTGGGTTTTGATTCTCTCGAGGATGCCCTCCTCAGCAAGCTCCGACGTCAGGCCAGCATTTAGAACAGTGCCCTCTCCAAGTTCCACCAGATATTTGGCCTTGGATTGAACGAGCGCTACGTGGTGGGTAACCAGGATTCGAGTTCGTCCTTCGCAGAGGTCACCACTAATGCACTTGTCGAAAATGTGTCGACCAACATGAGCATCAACAGCGCTGAAAATATCATCCATGACCAGAATCTCGGCGCGTGAGTAGATGGCTCGTGCCAATGTTACTCTCCATTTCTGGCCTCCGCTCAAATTGATTCCGTTGGCTCCAAGTTCTGTCTTATCACCATCTGGCAAGATTTCGAGATCCTTTTTCAGGGCACAGACTTCAATAACTTTCTGGTATCTCGCTTCATTGTAAGGGAGGCCGAATAGAATATTATCTCGGAAAGAAGCACTTTCGAGCCAAGGTGTCTGGGCCACATACGCAACAGAGCCGGGAAGGATCCAGTTTCCGGGATGAGCCGCCTGGTCATTGCGCTCAAGCGGCGATACGGTGGGCGGAGCATGAATGGCACCTTCAAGGAGATCAACCTCGCCAAGTACAGCAGAGAGCAGCAGACTTTTTCCTGTTCCAGTTTTACCAGAGATCACAGACAGCTCGCCAGCAGGGAAGGACAGATTGATATTTTTGAGGATGAAGCGTTCTTCGTCGGGAGTTTCGACGTCAACAGGCCAGGAGATGGTGGCATTTTCGAGAGCAACATCTGGACCATCAGACAGAATCCTCTTCATTTCAGGGCCACTAAGATACGTGTCAATTCGCTTGATTGAAACGAGTGTGTCAACAGAGGTTGTGAGCAGCTCTGGAAGTGCAGAGAGTGTGACTTCCAAGCTCTTGAAGATACTGATACTGACGAAGGCGATAGACGGAGATAGGTTGCCATGAAGGACAGAATAGACGGTTAATGAAGCAGCTGCGAGAAAAATCGGGCTGATAACCCAGCATGCAAATAGGACAGAGTCCGCCATGAACGTTCTCTTTAGAGTTGTCAGTTCCTTTTCTCGTTGCTCTTGAATGCGACCTTCCCACTGGTTCTCTAGTGCAGTGAATTTGATCTGACGAATGCCTAACAACGCCTCATTCACAATTGCCAGTTTAGCATCACGGTCTTTCATGAGCTGGGCTTGATGTTTCATGTAAATCTTGGTGGCATACGTGTTGATAGGCAAGACGAGAGCCCATGCCAGGATACCGGCCACGAAGGGCCAGAAACCAATCAACTTTAGCAGGAAGCCGCAGTAAAAGAACAAATTGGTCAAGCTGTTGATGATGAAAAATTGAAAGGCTGCAAGATTTGATACGTGCCGGACATCGACACCAACAAGATTCACAATGGCTTGGCGGGACTTTAGAACGGTCTCCTCCTCGGGTTTCTTTGTGTCTTTGTTGCCTTCATCCGCATCTTCGTCCGCTTTGGGTGTTTCTTTCTCTGCCATCTTGACGTTTTTGCGTTTCAAGGATTTTTCGAAAATGAGAGAGGAAAGCTGGCCTCGGAGAGGAATGGAAGTCTTGTACATGGAAAACCACATGATCCATCCTTGTGTCCACTATAGATAGGCATCGTATTAGCATTCAGTACGTATAACCGTAATCATAGAATTGGGGATGATCTTGAGTACCTGTCCACATAGAGAGAAAAGAGCGAGCGAAACGATGTACATCAGAATCTGGCCCATTGGTCGTTCACCTTCGGGAAAGCGCTGTTCCAAGAGCTCAATCACGCGCAGCATGGCCCAGAACGGCCCGAGGCCAATGAATGATCGAAAGATGGTGACAGTCCATTGGATCAAAAATAGGGGCAGATAAGAACGAAGAAGCTTTTTAAGAAGTGTGCCCTTGAATTCAAACTTGTGCCAAGCCTCGACCAGATCTCGGGCTCTGAAGTTGTGATCTGGGCCTGGAATGTCTTTTTCGTCCAGATCACCTTTCTTGGTGGCCAACGCAACCAAGGGCTGTCCCCAAGACCAAGTATAACGACTCAGGAAAGAGCCTGTAAACTGGGCGTCCACTGGTTTGCCATTGTGGGAGACGGCTGGTCGTCGGGGGAGCGAAACGCTAGCAAACAATACCAAGATGGTAGCTCCCAAGCTGACTATTCGAAGAATGAAGAAAGCGTCAGTCTTGGTAGCTCCGAGGCGCGAAGCATGGTGAGTCTGTAGTATGTTGATCAAGATAGCAATAAACGACGACCCAAATGACCAAATGCCGAGATCGTGGGATTTGACCGGAGACCGGTGAACAAAGATGAAGACAGCTTGTAGCAGAATGGCAGCCTTTGGGGTTGAGAGCGTTGGTTAGTGAATTGATATCACAGTTTAATGGAGCTGAGGAGAGCGAGTAAGCTTACAAGAGCACCAGTAGTCAGCCAGCTGGGAACAAAGAGGCCATAACGGTCCGCGTGAAGGGTGGTCAAGATCGAATAAGCAACAGATGTGGCAAAGCTTGTCAGGGCAAGGAGAAGAATGGCAAGCTTTTGCCACTTGTTGGAAAATGCAGCAACGGCTTCTGGCGTGCTGGTGCCGTCGACATCGGAATAAAAGTTGTCTTTGGGAGTGCGGTTGCGAATCTGGGAAAGAAGAGCAACGGCGCCCGGCAGGGAAAATAGTCCGACAACCGTTAAGCCCGCGATGGAGAGTGGCAGCACAAAGGAACTGAACTGGTCCGCCGAGCCATCGACGGCGCCCAGCACCTGCTGATATTGTTGCTGATACTGCATCGTCATCGTCACAGCGAGAAACCCTCGCCGGCGCGCCGGAGGGAGCTCAGATGCAAGTTGATGCGGCTCTACGGAAGCTTATCGAGAGACGCCAATGCTGAGAGCATCAGCACAGGTACAGAGGGGAGTTGTACAATTTGAACCGAGACGAACAAATGCCTCTCTCTACAGCAAGGAAGACGACAGCAGAGACAGGAACATGAAAAGAAAAGGAAGCAAAAGGCGAACAAAGAACGTGCCGTCCGAGGCGGTGCAAGTACAGTAGTTATCAGTCAGCGAAAAGAGGTTTATCGCAGGAGCGCCATCCCGTGCTGCAAGCTATCCACAGCATCCACAGAAGTGAATGCAACGCCGCCAAAGCTCGCAAGCAAGCTGCATCTGCCAGGATCCCCCGGGCGGGTGGCGCATCCCAAGGGTCTTGAGCCGGATGTTAGTCGCGGTGCTACTACTCCGAGTTGAACTAGCAGTGCCTGGCAGTGTCTCGTACGAGCTGCTCGGTTGCTCTATGCGGACGGGGGCCAGCACCATCAAACGCTGCCGTTGGCTCGATCCAAGTCACTGGGCGAGCGGATTCTGGCAGGAAGCGGAGGCCATTTCCAGACGAGCGATAGCCTGAACAGGGATCAGGTACCAGAACGGCCGCTTGGACAGACGCAGCAGCGCTGGTATGCCGTGCGAAGCACTTTTGATCGACTGTAGGAGTCATGGCCGAAGCCTTGCGAGATGAGCGAGTCTTGGCTCGTAGATGGGCCAATGGGGATCGCTGTGGGCTTGACCGAATCAATCACATCACTGAGTAACTAACCTTAGGCTGCCGTTTTTGACCTCCAAGAACACATGCTTTTTCTCCTATATTCTCTCCTATATTCTCTCCTCTGCAGGCTACCTAGATACGAGGCTGCAAAAGTGCCTGATGGCTGCATCATCGCCAGCTGCCTGGCAGGTAGCTACAATCCAAAGCTGGTGCCTGAGAAGGCATCAACATCACGGCATCATCTAGCCCGAGCATCTTCCACTATCTCGGGCCGGCAGATAGCAATGAAACACTGTGGCAGAATCTCAGTCATTGCCTTCATTTTCCTCCTATCGTGAACAGAAAATCCCCGGCTCGCGGATTGACTAGGCCGTCCGTCTCACCTCAAAAAGGCCTTGTCCAACGCCACTTGCAATCGCACTGATTGGCTCGCTGCGGTCGCCATGGGGCCTGGGACTTTTACTAGCAGAGGCGATGCGGTCCCGCCATCGAGCTATTGCGGGGAGCTGCTAATGAATCCATGCCGTTATCTTGGCTCTCGTCTCATTGCCCAGGTATAAGTGCTAACACTAGACAATACACAATAAGCATGCTGCACCACGTCGAAAGAAGCGTTTCAGGGCATAATCCATCGCATCGTTCGCACCGGCAGGGGCGCTTAATGATATCGAAGTCGGACTACTACAGGTACTAGTAGCTGTTGTGATCCTAATAGTGCTATGGAGTTAAGATTTCCAAGACATGCATCAATGCGCATGGGTACCTTACTGGGTAATACTGTACCTAGGTAGCTGTGACAATTGATTCGGTACTGTAGGCATAAGTTCTTATCGGTGTAATTAGTAACATGAGCCGTTCAACTACACCGCTTTCTCTAGGCTTTGGTGACAAAGGGTGTGCCAGCTTTGTTGCCTCTTTACTCATTTCCCGTCCTCCTCATGCAGACCAAGATCACGAGCCGCCTCATATGCAGAGCCGCTGGATCTTGCATCCAACCCTCCTGTACGAGTACGAGCAACTTGTCAGTATCAAATCACGGTGTGGTGCATGCTCCCGGCAGGCTGTTCAGCGGGATCCAGCGGCTACGGGCCAGCACAAGCGCCACAGCGATTGCATTGCATCTCAATGGCCCACCCACACGTATATGAGGCTTGTTAGTTTCACATTCAGGAACACGGCTGGCCTCGAGTGTCGTTCTGGGAGGCTGTCGGTCGTCGCTAAGGCGTGGATTTTGTCGTATAAGACTAACAGTTCCGCCCAGACTAAGCCTCCAAAGATCCCTCGCCATCTTTTCCTCGCTTGGTGATAGGTGAGGGAGCACCGTTGGATGCGAGGTGAGTGAGATAAATACCTACATATACAAAAGAGCAGCACACACACTTGCTTCTAGTGGGAGGTCTAGGCTACATGTATAATACAATGACACGCACCCCGGACATTTCCAAATCCGTCTCGCCGTCAAGTGACTCACTCGCAGACATTAGTGATTCTATGAGTCGAATCCTCCCATGCCGTGGTTGCCCAGTGCTGCAGAGTCTGGCATTAATTTACGCCGTCGGCAGTGTTTCAACCACTCCAAAGGAGCCAACCAAAAGGTAGCACCGCGTCAATATATTCGCATGACTATTACATTGCATACACTATTGCTACGTGCCTGCGAAGTGTTACCAAGAGACAGCTACTCGCGACGGATGCCTGCTCGGAGTAGCACTGCTATCTGACAACCCAGGTCGCCAACGAGCTGCAGCATGTATTGTAGCCTTACCAGACAAGCGCTTGCAGCTCGCAATAGGTTCTTTATCTAGCTGCCTACGAAACGTTCTGCTTGTTTTCGGCCTATCCAACCAGGCCATATCTTGGCCGATGGCGGAAAGAGGGATCTGCCATGTCTTCAATTTGAAAGAGTTTCACGACTAACACAGGTGGAGAGCCAATATCCGCCAATGCAATACAGACCGTAACAAGACAGCATGGGAAGCAGAACAGACCAAGGAGATGAAAGCATACCTACTGTGCACTAGCAGAAACCCACGAGCAAAGGGATTCGGTGAGCAGATGTCGCCTTTGCTACGCTGACTCGCCTGAAATTGTACAGCCTTGCTCCAAACAGGTGCGAGGACTGATCATCCGGGCGGCTAGTGATGTGTGAAATTGCTGCCAATCCGCAGATCTGCACCAGCGAGGCCGTGTCGAACCACGGCTGTAATCTGCCACCCAGCACTGCCAATCCCTGGCTCAACTGCATTTAGGGTTGAACAGAGATAGATGTAATACAAGTGGTAGAGGGGCATGATACAGCAATGAACATCATATAGCGGAAGCAATAACCATCAAAACGCCATTCACAATACGAGTAGCAGTAGTGTGATTTATGACCTTACCGTGGCATGGTGCAATCAGCAGAGGGGGGAGATGGAGTTCAAGTAGCACACCGCGGGGAAGATGGAGAAAGGCAATACTACCGAAAAGAGCAATAGGCAAAAAAGGACTGAGGTTATGGAATCGAGCATCGACAGAGGCCAACGTCAAGCTCTGGCATGATCAGCCGAGTATCTCGTACCAATCGCGTAATTGCACTGGCCCGGGTGATGGCAGCCCTGCAGCCCTGCAGCCCAGCGACAGGATTTGCGCCGTGTCATGCAGGGCGTTAGAGCCTACAGCAGCGTGTATGCAGTCGGCAGCGAATGCGGCTGGCATCGTCGCCGCCGGGCCAATAGCGACGGCAGCACAGAGGCAAAAAAGCAACCAGCAGTGCGTGTGTTGGCTGTTCATCAGATACGGGACCCGTGGTGAGGCGTCTGGTCCTCGTTCGATTGGCGCGCTGAACGGGCAGCTGCTACGGCCCCTGCAAGACCAGCACAGCACTCAACTGACCCTGCAGCACCCCAGCCCAGCCCCCAAGATTCGAGCCTCTAGCCGCTATTGGCCTCGAGCAGTTGGCCCTCTCAGGCGACCCAGTTTCAGCCGGCTATCCTGCACTGACCAGACCTTACATCGGAGCCGTAGGAATATTTCCAAAGCTGGAGGCAGCTTCTCTGTCGCGGCCAAGCCCGTCCCGTCTCTTTTTTTTTTTTCTTTTTTAACTTTTGACCATCACGAGCCTCTGTTGCCCGAAACTGTCACGCGGTTCAAGCCCTTTGCCGACTAGACCGAATCCCTCGCTGTCGAGACGCTGCCTCAATCCCTCTTTCGAGCCCGCCGTTTTTTGTCGAACCATCCAATCCAATCTCATCCACAGAGCTTGCTCCACGACTATCGTCCCTCCGCCTCTATTCGCTGCGGCCAGCTCCTCATGCTGCTTGTTCGACGGCCGCCCTAACACGCAAGCGACACGATGAAGGCCTCGCCGCTCATCATCAATTGGCATGACCAGAATGCCCCAATCTACTCTGCCCACTTTGAGCCAAACGGCAAGGGCCGCCTGGCCACGGCCGGTGGTGACAACCATGTGAGGGTGTGGAAAGTTCAAGCCGACGGCCCGGAACGCAAAGTCGAATATCTGTCGACCTTGTCCAAACACAATCAAGCTGTCAACGTTGTGCGATGGGCCCCCAAAGGTAAATTGACAATGGTGCATGTCTGCATTGGCTGTCCGCGAGCTGACAGTAGCTACCAAATGAAGGAGAAACCCTCGCTTCGGCCGGCGACGACGGCAATGTGATTCTATGGGTTCCCAGCGAGATTCCGGCAACCAACTTTGGATCGGAAGGTTTGGACGATAAGGAATCATGGCGAGCCAAGCACATGTGTCGCTCTAGCGGAGCCGAGATATACGATCTGGCATGGTCCCCCGACGCCGTCTACTTTATTATCGGTAGTATGGATAATATTGCGAGAATATACAATGCTAGTTCAGGTAGGCAGCGGCAATACTCTTGTTTGCGAGGTTCACCGCGAGCTAATATGAGGCCATGACAGGAACACTTGTAAGGCAAATTGCCGAACACAGTCACTACGTGCAAGGCGTCACTTGGGATCCCTTGAACGAATACATAGCAACCCAATCGTCCGATCGATCCGTCCACATCTACTCTCTCAAGACAAAAGACGGGCAGTATTCCTTGAGCCAGGACGATAAACTTCCAAGGCTAGCAAGCCACGTCAAAGCCGATCTCCCTACTCGACGAATCTCTTCGAGCAGTCCCGCGCCCCCGGAATTCGGTCACCGAGCGCAGATGTCTACCGTAGACTCTGCCACGTCTGTGGGATCACCAGCTCCCTCAGCCCCAAGCACCCCAACTTCCGCACCTCTCCCTATGAACCCGCCAAGCGTCATCAGCCATAGTCGTCGATCTTCCTTCTCCTCTCGTCGTTCGGTCTCGCCGGCACCATCTCTACCTCTTCCTGCCGTCATGCCAATGGAGGCGTCGCCGAAACCTCACTATGCTCTCAACACCAACTGGGCCACGGGAATGAAGAATGCCAGTCTTTATGCAAACGAAACCCTGACATCTTTCTTTCGACGACTCACGTTTACGCCAGATGGGAGTCTCTTGCTCACGCCGTCTGGGCAGTATCAGAATCAACACCAGACAGACAAGGATGCAAAGCCAACTTACGAAATTATCAATACCGTCTACATCTACACTAGAGGCGGTATCAACAAGCCCCCGATAGCACATCTGCCAGGCCATAAAAAGCCTTCAGTCGTTGTCAAATGCTCACCAATTTTTTATACCCTCCGCCAGTCTCCGCCGGTGACTAAACATGTCACCATTGATACATCCTCTGCAGAAGACACCATTCCCTCCCTCCCAGAGCCAGTCTCCAAGGCATCCACCACGTCATCCGTCATGGATCCTCCCCCGCTGCCCACGCCTGCTTCGACTACTGCCGCCGAAGCAGGAGCTCCGTCAAAAGGAGTGCCTACCGAGACAAATGCGTCAACACCAGGCCCTAAGCCCGCCTTTGCCCTTCCTTACCGAATGGTATACGCAGTCGCCACCCAAGACTCGGTACTACTATATGATACACAACAGAAGACTCCGATATGCATAGTCAGCAACTTGCACTGCGCAACCTTTACTGATCTTGCTTGGTACGTATATGCGACCGCTTTGCCTGGATGAGTACCACGAACTAACTCTCTTTTCATAGGTCAACTGATGGGCTCACCCTCATCATCTCGTCATCAGACGGATTCTGCTCCTCACTAACATTTGCCCTGGGCGAGCTGGGCGAGATTTACAAGGGCGAGGTTGGGGCAAAAGCAAGTGCATCCGCAGCAACTCCTACGTCAACGTTTGCATCGCCTGCTTCGTTCCCAGGTGGACAGCAGCATCAACCGCGCAACTCGGCAAGCTCTTTCACAGCACCCTCTCCTCCTACCACATCGTCTGTGCCATCCAATCGCCCATCCTCGCCTACAAGATCGAATTCTACTTCTTCTGTAGCTACACAGTCAGGTGTCGTGAGCAACCCGCCCCTCATTAGTGGTAGTGTGCCATCAATCACGGCCGCCAATTCCGGCAGGGTAACGGGCGTTCCCTTGACTACGCCTCCAGAGACACCCAAAGTTGTGCCTGGGCCCAGCACGGGCGTAAAGAGGGATGCTGATGAGGCCGAGAAAGAAGACACCAAAGAGCCCAAGAAGCGAAGAATTGCTCCAACTCTTGTTTCGAACCCAACATGAAGTTCCGGCCTCGGCTTGTCCTTTCTGAACCTCTTCTTTTTTTTTTCTCTTCCCTTTTTTTAATGTATTTTGTAGAGCGAGCCGAGTTCTGCGGGCTGTCTAGTTTCTTTTTTCTTGTGGCACGGCATTCGCCATCACAGAATGATGAGAAGCGCGGTTTGGCAATGACTATATAGATGGATGACGGTAGGTGCCAACGTTTACTGGTACAGGCTGGCGTTTTACGGGCTGGCGTAATTTGCTTTGATCTCAAGGCGGCATTTGAGCTTGCCGAAGAAGATATCATACGTTTTTGAGAGAGGGAAAAGTTCTCTCTCTCCCTATGGTCTGCCTAGGGCGTGGGCAGTTTGCCCGGCCCGCGATTTGGCAGGCGGGGTGGCTATTAGGCAAAAAGTGCAATAGTTTTATAGGTAGTCTGATATAATGGAACCTTCTGTTTGATATGATGGCATATGAATGGAGGCAATATGTTATTTACGTGTGCGCCTTGATACATTTTTTTACAATTGTAGTGGTGGCTTTAATCTCTCAGGCAGCCGAAATTGGAGTAAAATGTGAAGCACGCAACAAATTACAAGGTATTACCAAATTCCTCAAAGACAGTCATTTCATCACAGGGGTCCATCCCTTCCGGGGGACAAAAGTAGTCACGCCCTCGTCTCGCAGGACTTCTTCTGCCAATCTCCCCGTCACGACGCTCTGCTCAAACTGCGGACCGCGGACGTAGAATGGGAATGAGAGCCGACAGGAAGATTCTTCTGGGTCTTCTCCTGAGTCGTCAGAAGGATCCTTAGCCGCGGTGTCGGTGGATGAATCTGGTAGGAGCAGCCTTTCCCACACGCTGCGGCCGTGGCGCTTCCTTTCGGTGAAGCCGCAAGCGCGGCGGTCTAGCGAGAGATACCAGCGGCGTTGATACACGCTGCCGATGGTGTTGGATGCTCCGACGTAGGCGTTGTTGAGGCGGACTTGGGCGTCTTCTTGTTGCTGCTGCTTACGGCGTGCTTCACTCGGGGAGGATGTGTTGTTGGTACTACCTGTTCTAGCCTGCGGTTCATCGTCTTCTATGTCGTTACCATATCCATCACTGTCGGAAGAGGTGCTTTCCGGCTCTGCAGGGCGCGCTTTTGCCGTCTTCCCACGGCGTCTGGTCCGCGGCGTTTTCGAGCTTCTAGATCGCCCTGCTGCATCTTCCGTCTTGGTCAGGCGGATGTTGATGACGTACGGATCAGGCAGCTTCGTCCCATGGAGACGCAGCCGGATCTTGCGGTTTTTGAAAGCCGCGTGGAGGAGAGACTGGGCCGTTGGAGTGTGCTGCTTGCTGTTTGAAGACGATGATGATGAGTGAGGGGAGCCTGGCGGCGAGGAGGGGTCCTCTGGAGGGGCGTGTTTACTGCGGCGTGGAAGGACGGAGTATGTGCCCGTGTCCCATATAATGAGAGATCCTGTTTCTGCAGAAGCTGTTTCTATAAGGTGATTCTATATGTAAATGTGGATTGTATTAGTACACAAGATATTAGGAGTCGAGGTCATGGCAGGTACGTAGTAAGTGGAGAGCAAAAGACAGGGAGACTCGCCCAAAGTGAGTGGATGCGAGTCTCGGTGGCATTGCGGTTCAACCGACTGCTGTTGGCATCGCCCGGCAGGCCGTACATGATGGCCCAGCTGACGCTACTGGCCTCGTTGATCTGAAGGCGGAGATCATAGTGGGTGCCGGCCACGGGATGGTCGTGCTGATGGATCACAAAGTGCGCGCCGCTCGGGCTGCCTGCACAGCGTTGGTACAGGCTGGAATAACCCGAGATGCTCAGTCGAGGGACGAGGGCCGATGTCGGGCGGAGACGCGAGGAGAGAGTCGACGTGAATTGGGCCAGATGGTCAGATATCTGGACGGCTCCGGCTTCGATTTCGGCGGTGGTGCCGGCGGTGGGCCTAGGGCGGGCTGGTGCTGCCGGAGGAGAAATGGCGGTAGAGGTCGAGATGTCAGTGGGTACGGCAGCAGTGCTGTCAGCAAGGGCAGCAGAAGTAGAAGCTGTGGCTGTAGCAGCTGAGGTAGATGGAGTAGGGAGGAGAGACGATGAAGTGGCAGGGTGAGGATCTTGAGATGACGATGGAGACTCGAGAGACCAGGCGAGGTTGCGCTTCTTGATGAAGGGATTGGGAATAAGCACGGGGGGGCTGAGAGGCCGTTTGTGGGATGGGGCCATGAAGCTGAGTCTGATTCGTTGTGAGTGTAAGCAGGTATGCCCAATGCAGATGTGTGAGAGCAGAGTGCAGCTTGAAGCTTTTATTTGCTACATGCACACTACGTAGTAGTATATGTCATCGGATTGATCATAGCAGATATGGAGATATGGATATGTACAGCAATCCTTGCTAAATAACGCATGTGGCTTTGCATCTTAAGCATGTCTAATCTGAATCAGACTCATCAATAAATAATAGCTAACCCAAGTAAATCTGTTTATCTAGATAATCACTCAACAATTTCATACTCTATACAGGTTATGTTGTTGATACAGCCCCGGCAAGCACTGACAGACTGCTCCGAAGTTATTCCGCCGCGTCATGCAAAACGGACGTCCGTATTTACACTCGATTGATGTTTTTGGCACCAGCTGCGGTGCCAGGAAATGACACCCTGTGGCACTTCCCGCAAACCAATCACGATGCGTTCGCCGTCATCTCGGCTCGGCTCCACCGCAGAGCCAACCACAAGTCGTGAATAAAAGTTAGTCGCGGGGTGCATGCTACCTAATGCTAATGATTATCTGCATAGCCATGGATATATGCGCGAGACTCGGCTCATGCAGTCCGAAATGGACCGCGGCTATGAAAACTGCAATGCTGCTGCTCTTGAGCCGAACGTTGCATTCGCAGTTTCTGATACCTGAAGCAAATGTTTGCAAGCGTTGGCGTCAAACAACAGCTTGCAGCAATGCTCCATCGCAGCTTTACAGCATACTCGTATTACCAGGTGCACATGCAGCTAGGCCAATGGGCGCTGCGCCATCGTTTCAGCGCTCATCTTCAGCGCCGCATCCGCTACCAGCCTCCGCCATTCGACCTCCCAGCCAGAGCCGTGCTAGCGTCTCGGCCCCGTCGTCATGGCAAAGAGCCAGTACCGAGGCAAACAAAAACCTGGAAGCCACGGCGCCCCGCTTTTCCCGTCCCCCCAGAACCGCCTTCAGCAGGTCAGCCGCAGCTCCGCCCCAGAGGGAAGCGCAAGGGAGATACCTTTTCGGTACCCCCTGCATTGCGGTGGCAGGGATGAGCTCATAAGTATCGCCGCAGTACCTGGTGCCAAACCACGCGAGCCCCGGGATTTGCCCAGGCTCGATTTAATTACCAAGCCGCCGGGGGCTTGTGATTGCCCCAGCCATTTGATGAAGGCTCATCTCCCCTCCCGTCGAGCGCTGGAGCTTATCGCAACTCTTCGCTCTCTTCCCAATTCCAGATTCGAATTGCATCCTGCCAGGCCCGACGCGTTCCTCGCACAGCAACACAACGGACTAAGCCTTACGTGCCGGTTCTGCTCGTCTTACTTGTACCGTCGCTTATCGCCACAACCTGGGGCCCGGCCTCAGCCCCAGCTGAAAAAAACGAAATTGCTGGCAGCACACCAGCCAGCCTCTCCACAGCACCAGCACTCGAAGAGGCGAGCCAAAGTAGGATTGCACGCGCTCCGCGGCAAATAACACTGCTGTGATACCCCGGCTTGTTTTCTCACTGTTCATTTCTTAACCCTTTTCACAATGGCTTCGCCACCTAAGCCCTGGGAACGAGCTGGAGCCTCAGTGCCTTCACGTAAGTACCAACACGGACTCGCTCCTATGCTCCTGTGCCCTGAACGCGCCTCTCTCGTGACCTTCACATGCTGACTGGTAGCCCTTTTCCCTCTCTCTAGTTACCATCCCTCCTTCATCAGCCTCATCATCAGCGCCTCTGTCGCCGGCATCATCTGTTGCATCCATGGACGCACCTCCGATACCAGAGCGCCCGGCGTCGTTTGCCGCGGCCATGACCCAGAACGCCGCCACCCCTACGCCCGGTGTCATGGGCGGCATGGCTGCCTCTCCCTACGGCGCCTACAACAACGCATACTCGTCGCCCTACTCAAGTCCCTACTCGCGCATGGGAGGCGGCTATGGAGGATATGGCGGCATGTATGGCGGCGGATACGGAATGGGCATGGGAGGCATGTACGGCGGCGGCATGTATGGCGGTGCCATGGGCGATCCCAACAGCTTGGCCGGCCGCTTCAGCAATGGCACCCAGGCGACCTTTCAGATGCTTGAGGGCGTCGTCACTGCCTTTGGTGGATTTGCACAGATGCTCGAGAGCACATACATGGCCACGCACTCTAGCTTCTTTGGTAAGTTTGTTGGATACTATTTCCGGGTTTGTCTCATCGCAAGAGCTGTATGCTAACCTATCAATAGCTATGATCTCCGTCGCCGAACAGTTCGGCAACCTGCGCGATACCCTAGGATCTCTGCTCGGAATCTTCACCCTCATCCGTTGGATCCGTAGTCTACTGGCCAAGCTCACTGGCCGCCCCCTCCCTGCTGATGTCGCAGCCCTCAACGCCTCAGACTTTGCTCGATTTGAAGGCCGATCTGGCGCTGCTGGATCCCAGCCCCCCAAGGCCAGCCGCAAGCCTCTCATCTTCTTCCTCCTCGCTGCCTTCGGTATCCCCTACCTCATGTCCAAGGTGATCAAGAACATTGCCGCCTCCGCCGAGGAGGAAGAGAAGCGTCTTCAGCAGCAGGCCCTCGAGGCCCAGCAGCCCGTCGATCCCGCCAAGCTGGAGTTTTGCCGTCTCCGATTCGACTTTGCCCCCCAGCAGCCCAACGGCATGGAACTGGAGGGACGCAAGGGAGATCTCGTCGCCGTCTTGAGCAAGAACGACCCTGCTGGTCAGCCCAGCGAGTGGTGGCACTGCCGCAGCCGTGATGGCCGCCAGGGATACCTGCCCTCAACCTATCTCGAGATTTTGAAGAAGTCTGCTGAGCCCAAGAAGCTCAAGGCCGCTCCTGATAGCAGAACCAACTCATTGACCAGCTCATCAACAAGCGAAGAGGGCAAGAAAGAGTATGCCACCGCCGATGGCATGCAGAGGAGTCACTTCTACTCTTAAAATAAAAACAAAGAATACCACTTTATACACATGTCTGTAATGATTGGAATGGGTTCGTCAAGGCTGCGCGATTAGATGCTCTGGTATAGCATGCTCTATTTATACCACTGGCGTGCTTCTTTTATTTTCATTTTTCCTTTGTCTTCTTGTTCTCTAGCTATCTAATTCGCTTTGGGAGTTTTATTTTCGGGGTATTTTGCATGCTTGCTATCGCATAGCCCTTTTTGTTTTAAGACGCTTTCATGGAGACGTGGATGAAGACCTGCTCCGTTTCCTGTATAAAAGTCGGGGGATGATTATTATCTTGTATTATTTACATACACCTTTTCTAAACAACTTTTATGACGATTGGAAACTTTGGAATTCAATCAATTTGTGTGCGTGTGATCTTTATTTGCTCAGCTTTCTGAGTTGCTTCTACTTATACGTGATATAGTGTAATAAGAAGAAAAGATCAGCCTAGTAATTTGCCACAATTATCTGTTGCTCTTGGGTCCCTCAATATTTGTAAATTATTCCCATATACGACCAAGTTGCTCCCTACGTTCGCAGAACTCTAGCATATCTAGCCCTCGGCTTCGTAAGAGTTGGACTTGTGCTTGGGTTGGAATTGGAAGCCTGGGTGAACAGGTCCCAGGAACATTTCACTGTCAAGAACATGTTAGCGTATGATATCTTATGCTTAATTATGCAACCAAAGAAGAGAATGAGAGGAAAAAGAAAAGAAAGCTTCCAGCCTACGTACCTGATCTTGATCCAGTCTCTGTAATTGTCCGATGCCATCATTGTCTCCATCTCATCTCTGCCCTTATACGCTGGCGGCCGGTCATTCAATCGCGGAGGCAAGTGCTCCAACAGACCAATCGGCACGTAGCGGTGCGCGAAGCTGAGATACTCAAGGAGGAAGCGTCTAGTGAATCCGATGCCAAGCTCGTCCGAGCCCCAGGCCTCGAGACCATACTTGACAAACTTCTCAATGTATCCGAGACGCTCGGTGGATGACTTGTCCAGGTACTGGCCCTTTTCGATTTCCTCAAAGATCCAGGGCTTGATGAGGGCACCGCGGCCAATCATGACGGAGTCGACGCGGGCCTTCTCAATATGCTCGTAGTAGTCAACGTGAGAGTAGCAGTCGCCGTTGCCGAGGAAGTACATGCGGCCGTCCTTGGCGTTGGGCAGGGTGCTCTCATCGGGCTCAGCAATGGTGTCGGTGATCTTGGCCTTTTCATCATTGTACGTCTTGATGAGGGCTGCGCATTCTCCAATGTAGACCCAGTCCGCCGTCTTGGTATAGCGCTGCTCACGGCTGCGGCCGTGGAGAGTGAGTGCTGCACAGCCAGGAGCGCCAAGTCGTTCGCGGTGCTCGCGAGCTCCAAAGGCTAGCTTCCCAATGACTTGGCTCGCCGTCGGGCGGTCCTTGCGAACACCAGTCCTGATCTTGGCGGTGATGGGGATCTCGCCAGACACGGCGTTCATGCCTCTGATCATGCGTTCCATCTTACCACTTGCCTCGAGGAGTGCGGATCCGGCGCCTGACTTGAATACCTTGTCGATGGGGCAGCCGCAGTTGAGGTCGATGAGCCGAAGGTGAGGGCAGAAACGGTTGAGGACGTCAGCAGCCTTGGTGACAACCCAGTGAGCACTGCCCGAGATTTGGGCGCCAAACTTCAGATCGCGTGAGTGGTTGTAGTCGTCAAACAACGGGATAGCTCCGGGATTCATCTTGGGGGGTGTAATCTCCGACTTGTGAGCGCGCATCAACGTCCAGTCGGGCTTGGAACCTTGGAGCAGCGGCATTCCCAAGGCCATCTCTGAGTAAGTAGCCTGACAGCCGAGCTCGACACACAGCCGTCGGAACGGGAGGTTTCCCTGCGTGGTCAAAGGGGCGAGAGTCGGAGTCTCAGCGCCAAAGTAAAGGCGGCGCTTCTCGGACGGCTTGAACGGCGGGTCAACATACCGAGCCCGAAGGTCTTCGAGGCCCAGTTCTGGCTGGTCTTTGCGGCGATGATGAAAGTCTTGGCTGATGTTGGATTCGTGGTTTAGCCACGTAATGTACTGGTCCGTCTTGGCGAAGTCGATTCGTTTGCGATTCAGCTCAATCTTTTGACCCATAGTCACTACATTGAAGATTCCAGGTCGCAACTCGTCTTCGCCCTTCTCTCGGCCATTAGAAGCCGCCTCTTTGTCCTCCGAAGAGTCTTTGGAAGCGGGCTCGTCCGCTTGAGTTTCTTCATTAGACTCCTTCTTGGATTCCTCTTTGGGTGGCCGGTTATCCTTCAAAACCAGCTCCTTCCTGCCATCCTCGTGCTCGATTTCTTCCATATGGCTCTTGACAAAGCGGCATTTCCAGCCGGAAGCGCAAAAGCCATGTGCCTCAAAAGCGGGACATTTTCCACCCAGGGCGTCCACGTCTTCGCGTCGGCCCTCACTGAGATATTTGCGTAGATCGTGGCACATTCTGCACTTTTCACCATACGGACATTCCTTTGGCGAGAACTCTCGAGCATAAGCCCTGCTGTTACAGAGCGGAATCGCATCATCGAACCTTCCAAATGAACGATCAATGTTTTGACCCTTGGCCTTCTTCTTCCCCTTCTTCCCCTGGGATCTGGAATCCTCCCCGTCTCTACGGGGCTGGTCACGGGGATCTGAGCCTCGACCTTCGGCAGCATCATCATCCACTGCGGTAGATCTCTCATCTTGCTTCCCTGACATATCAATGAGATACCTAGGATGCATAAGCTGGGCACGTATATGAATCATCAAATAGAGGCAACTTACTCCTTCTTAATCGGAGCCAGGCCCTTGACACGGTCGTTGGGCTCGCCATTCTCTGCTGCTCGTTTTGGGGCCTCGGAAGCAGGCTGGTTTTGACTGTTATCTGAAGTCTCTACATGATTGCCGTTGTGATTAGCATCAGGCGCATCTTGGCCATTCTCTTTCTGAGCAGGAGCTGCGTCGTCAATCTTAATTCGCTTGGCGGCTCGCTCTTCAGGATGAGGCTCAACATCTGGGTGGTTTTCCGCGATGGGGGTATCGGATTCTGTAGCCATATTGTGCAATGGCGTTGATATATATCTGGGTCGAGACAATGGCCGCTTGAAATACCCAGATTCCTGAGATAAATATGATGAAATACGCGGTTGAGGCAAAGAAGCTTTTGCCAGAAGTGTTCTGAGCAAGATCCTCAGTTCTTGTGCAGTATAACGAATGAAATAGACTTCCAAATAGATTGAGAGAATAGCAGAGGCTGGATTCCAATTGGGCCAGCCTTGAAAGTCGATGCTTGAATGAAGATGGGAAAAAATTGCTGTGGAGTTGGAAAATTCTATTGGATAGTGAAGTAGCGGCTGTGAGAAATTTCAGAGGTGGCCAAGTCACTTTAGCCACCTGCCTGCAGCCATATTCACTGCACGCTGATATGAATGTCACTTTTCTCAGCGTGCTGTTGTAGGTCATTAAGCTAAGAGAGACGTTACAAATAGAATAAAACCGCATTGATTTTAAAAGAACGGCTTTTAGCTATAATTATTGCTTTGGCCTAGAAAGAACAGCATTATTGCTGGTTTCGATTGAAGAATCGCAGCTTGCTTTCGATTCGTCTAAAGACCACATCAAAGCTCGAGTATCCCGCAATCGAGGCTCCAGACGCCAATTATCCAGCGCTCAGACCGCTATAGCACAATCATTGCGGCCCTGCTCAGCGCTCAATAGAATGCTACCCCACTACCCAAACCCCTCCTGCTCCCCTAAGCTGCCCTCAACCTCTCTCCCCCTTCAAAGGAGTTAAGCTCCTGCACGCGTCCTGACATCTCGCTCTTCGCGATTCGACGCTGCCGAAACTCGGCAATGAGGAGCAGCTGGCGAGACCATGGAAGATCTGGGCCCGTTCGCTAGTGCGACCCGGTCTCCTCACAGGACAGCAACATATGGCTCGAGACAGGGCGTGTCGTCGCAGAGAACCGCCGTCGACCCGTCCGCCCACAGACGACCGACGATGCTTGACGACGAGGACGACGACGAAGATGAGGACGACGACGATGAATACTTCGGGGAGGACGTGAGACGGAGGGTTGACGAAGACGAGCAGCGATATTCAGCGGCGGAAGATGACGAGAACGAGGAGCAATCGGTGACTCCAGTCCCCAGAAGCCACACGCCTGGCCGCCTTGCTGGTGCCAGGAGCAATGTCCCGGGCGATCAACCGCGCAGCAGCAAAGCAACCGCTGAGTTGGCCATTCGTCAACGAGCAATCTCGGCCTCGCACCCGCACCCTCCAGCGAGTCGCCCAACGGGGCAAAGAAAGTCGACCGCGGACAGTCTCCCCGACGTCCCTCCCCTTCCTCGCGATGGCGAAGCAGAACAAAAGACGGCAGCTACAGCTACAGCTACAGCTACAGCGGCAGCAGCATCATCGGCTGCTGCTGTAGCTGCATCGTCAAGAGCGACGTCCGCCGTGTCAGCTCGCCAAACAAGCTCCATCATGGCTCGCCCCTCGGCCGGCAAACACACCACGTTCCCCCCCTTGCCGAGACCCGGTGATGGGCCAGAGGTGCCCCCAGCCCCGGCATCCGGCATGTACTGGTCAAAGGCACCCATATCTGGAGCTGCACACTCGAATCTCCGAGCTCATACGACGACACTGATCGGCTCCAGCGTATACGTTTTCGGCGGCTGCGATGCAAAGACGTGCTTCAACTCCATGTACGTCCTTGATGCCGACTCGTTCTACTGGTCCGTGCCGCACATGGTTGGGGATATCCCTATGCCCCTCCGAGCCATGACTTGCACGGCAGTGGGGAAGAAGCTCGTCGTCTTTGGAGGTGGCGACGGCCCGACGTACTTTAACGATGTCTACGTCCTCGATACGGTCAATTTTCGCTGGACCAAGCCTCGCATTGTGGGAGACAAGGTGCCCTCAAAACGCCGCGCCCACACGGCATGCCTGTACAAGAACGGCATCTACGTCTTTGGTGGAGGCGATGGCGTGCGCGCGCTGAACGATATCTGGCGGCTCGACGTCAGTGACATGAATAAGATGTCGTGGAGATTGATATCCAGTGCCGAAAAGGTAGCTCCAGGAACACGGGACCGTCGGCCCAAAGCTCGCGGCTACCACACAGCCAACATGGTCGGCAGCAAGCTCATCATCTTTGGTGGATCGGACGGTGGCGAGTGCTTCGACGACGTGTGGATCTACGATGTGGAGAGGCACATATGGAAGCTCGTCAACATCCCCATCAGCTATCGTCGCCTCTCGCACACTGCCACCATTGTGGGCTCATATCTCTTTGTCATCGGAGGCCACGACGGCCACGAGTACTGCGCCGACGTGCTGCTCCTCAACCTAGTAACCATGACGTGGGACAGGCGCAAGACATATGGACTGCCCCCCAGTGGACGAGGATATCACGGCACGGTCCTGTACGATAGTAGGTTGCATGTTGTTGGCGGGTTTGACGGTAGCGATGTATTTGGCGACGTTATGATTCTGGAGTTGGCGGTTCACGCGTATTACTCGCAAATTAGCCATTTCACGATTGATGTATGATGATGGGAAAGTTTTGAAACGTTCATGAGGAGGAAAGACACGTTGGCTATTTCCTTTTGTTAATCTTGCATTTTTCCTATCTATTTTATTTTAACCCTATATGTGTGCATAGAAGACGCTGACTGAATCCGGCTGATTCCTCTTGTCCCTCTCTACTACCATTCTCATTACACCCCCTGCTCCCCTCC